CAGTATCCACAACTACACCAGAAACTTCAAAAGCGTTGCCACAGTACCAAATCTGGCCTACCACCACCAGACCATTCATCCAAGTTGCTAAGCCAATAATTAGGTAACTACTGTAAACACTCTAAAAGAAGGCCGCCCCATAATTGCACTCAGAGCTTAATTCTCTCAATTTTTAAACAAATTATAAAAATTATGTCAACTGACAAAATGTTGGCGATATCATGACAAACATTTTATTTGTTGCCCAATTGTTGTTATCTTTTAAACAAATTGAGAAAATGGAGTTCATGGTGCAAGTATATTCCTATCAGAGGTTCTACAATTTTCTTGAAAAGCTAAAATAACAAAATTTCTTTTTTCTCAGCTCCTGTGAGTCTTTCATCCGTCCATCTTCTATCATCCGTAACAATGTTTGGAAAAAGGTGACGCCGGCTGTGACTCCAGAATACACTACATCGGTTTTCTTCACCACTCCATGACAACGGAAGCTACAACTACTGAAGAACCGGTAACAACTACAGTAACCTACCCAATATCCCCTACGGAGGTCCCATTTGTGTATAGCTCCACAGCTGGAATTCCGTACATCATCAAGGTATGATATCAGATTGTTATTCGGATTAAAATGTCGACTTTTCAGGCCCGAAAGTTCACACGGCCTCCAATTAGTGAGAAAATTGCGGTCACATCATTGCCACAAATTCATAAATATGATACTTGTGGTGAGCATGCTAGAAACAATGCTTTGAAAAATAGTCCCTGTTTCAGTCCCCGACCAGCGATGCTCGATCAAACTGAAGAGTTTCGAAACTTCGGATCCACTATTCCAGTACTGTTACAGTCATTCAACAATGATTGATAATTCAATTCAAGACTTGCTCAGGGTACAAGCGAATACACAATTTTCAAAAAATAAATTGAGATTCAGGATACCCAAACCGCCACATCACTTCCCCAACACATTTCATGGCATAGTTCAGTGACACCAGAAGTGGTTCAATTGGTTCAGACTCTGATGTCGTTGTATAGACCTTCGAGGTGTCTAGTCATAGGTAAGTATCATTTCTTGGAAACGTCAAAGATCCTGAAAAAAAAACTTTCAGGTGTGTTTACTGGTCTTGGACTTCTTGGCGTCGCTGAACGAGTTGATTCACGAGGAATCGTCGTTGCTCTTGAACATCCTGCCTACGCAGTTTTCTGGGACAAAGTCGGCCAGAAACACGCCAGAAGACTAACTGCGACTCAAATGTCCAGAATCCAAATGCGAACTTCTGAAAGTATTGAAAAATCTCTACCCAGATTGGCCACTAATGAGCCCAACACGTTTGATTTTGTATTTTTGGACGATTTCAAAAGAGAAAATTATTTGGATGACTACGAGCATGCGATCAGGCTTATTCGAAGTGGAGGATTGCTAATCATCAACCAGGTCCCTCGATGTCAGAAAGTTGTTACCCATTTCTTTTTGTTTCAGGCACTTAATAGCGGTGGAGTGATGTCTTCAATCGATCACATGACCAACGATGACAGGGTCATTCGAAACATGAACATACGCATCAAACAAGACCCTAGGGTAAGTTGAAAACAACTTTTTTCTTCTTATTTTTTTTAACAAGAGCAAAACACAGTTGTCGATCATTTGATCTTGATTTTTTCTATGATTTTTAAAAATCTAATAACTAGTTGCTAAAATAGTAATACACTGTAGTTGCTCAAATAGTGGTACACTTTGTACAAGCACTTTGAGCTCAAATATCTTGATTCCTTCTGGAGATTAAAAAATTTCAACTGATAAATCATTCATCATAATTTATCCAAGATTTTATCAGTTGACGGTTTTTTAATATCTATCATAGGAACCGAGATAATTGAGCTCAAAGTTGACTACAAGGCGGGCTTTTATCAGAGCAAATACAGTATTTTTGATAATACACTTTTTCCAGGTATCGGCATCTCTCCTACCGTATGGCGGTGGCACATGGATAGTTACCAAAAACTAAAGATCTTCTACTTATAAATTTTTTCTCTCCATCGCCACGTGTAAAGTGGTGTTCTTGTCTCAAACTGCCCGGTTATATGTATTTCAAAAACAAATGTTCAAATAAAGTTTTCTTTTTGAAACTGTATAATCTGGTCACAAATCCAAAAAAAAGCGATTGCGAAATCGTGCACTTTCAAACCGTACATGTCTGCGTCTCCACAGGGAAATTGTTTTGACGGTGGCCTTGAGGGACGAGAAAACTCCTGGGTGTTCGTAATGTGTGCATGAATTTTGGGCCTATTGTGATTCTAGTTTTTTGCGTAATGCTCTCATTTATTGACAAATTTTGGCTAGAAAAACAGGATTTTGTTATCAAAAAAAGCTAAAAAAATTAATGTTCACAGTTGTTTAGGGTAGTTTTGGTTCTGAATAGAGCCGGATAGAGCATATGAGAGTCATGATAGGTGCGATTTTAGGCCAAACTAGGTTTTCTCGATTTGAAAGTATTATACAGTAATTTCAATGTTTCCACAACAATTCTAGGCTCATGATAACTTGGAAATCTCTAGATGAAACAAATTTCTAGGATTTTTTCCTCTTATTTTTGTATAATACGTTTTCAGGGTAAATGGTCTATTCCATCCTCCCGGTCGCCATAAAAACTGAACTTCTTAATCAAAGTTCTAACCCTCAACAGATAAAACTGCTCATTTTGAGCTTCCAACCAACTTGTTTGAAATTCCAGAAGACGCACAATGCCAAGATGAAGCTCGAATATGTTGAAAACGATATCGGACCAACAGTCGATGAGTAATTTATTGATTATTGAATTTGAAAAAATTATATTATTACAGTAAACTTGATCAGTAAGTCCCGGAACAAAACGAAATTTGGACAGCCTGACACTATTCGCAGTATGCACAACACCCTTTTTAAACGCTGGGACTTATTCGAGAAGAACATCGACTACAGCAAAGACGAGAAAAAGAAACAGTTCGGTATGTTTGATAAGTTCTCTAATTTACTAGGCAATAGTTATTTTTTTCAGATGATTATTTGGATACTTTAGCTGAGCAACCTATCAAAGAAGAGACACCAAAAAAAAGGACAGAGCCAGCTCTCTGGAGTGGGTCAGATTCTCGAGGATCTCCGCATGCAGCATCGGCCATCACCGAAAGAGCACATCGTTCTTGATGGCCTTGGCTTACGCTATCGAGATCCTTTCAAATTCCCGATTAGCCGTATGCATGAAGTGCAGACCAAGTTGATCGCACGTGACGGAGAGGAGCTTCCGGAAATGGAAATGCCTGCTGATATTCGTGTAGCGAGAAAGATGATTCGCCAGAAGATGATCCGATGCAAGAAGTGCAAAACTCGTTTCCTTGAGAAGAATCTCTATAAGCGACATCTTCGAGACAAACATCCCAAGCTCTACGATTTGTTCATCGAGCAGCAGAGTGAAGAATGTGAAGCTCAAAAACAGGCAGAAAGGGATCACCAACTTTTTGATGAGATGAAAACTGGGTCATTCATTCCACCAGAAGATGCTGTTGTCGAGTTGCTTGGCAACCCTAATTAGTAAGTTTCAGTTAATAAAAATAAAGATGATCAAGATTACAGTATTCCGCTTCCGGGAGAGGGGAAACCAAAGCCATGGGAGAACACTCTGCAAAATAGAATCAGACAATTGAAGCGACCTAGTATCAAGAAGGTGTCACCACAGTCCCCATTTTGTGACATGCGTTTCAGATATGAGATTTCGTTAAAGAGACATTTTGTGAAGAAGCATCCTGTTATTGGAGACTTCAAACGATGTCTGAAATGTTTCACTGTGTTCCGGAATTGGATATGGACACTCACCACTGCGAGCTAGTGAGATTTTTTAGTATTTTCGAGACATGAAAGTTTCAAATCGTTGAGAAGACACAAGAACTCTAATGCTCTATCAGAACGCCCCTAGTATGAATAAGTTTCGCTTGGTGCCGGTTGAAAATATCGAAAAGTGATCAACTGGCAAATTTTTTCTGATATTATGGTAAACCTTTGTTAGTTCACCACTTTTTAAATCTTGTCCAGGTACTGAGATAAATTTGATCAAATGGGCGGTTAGGGAGCTTGTATTAAAATGTTTACAACATACGTGAATCTCCAGTTCAACCGCCCATCTTTTATAAAAAATACAACCTTGTTCTATAATTGATCTGATAAAAAAAGAATGATTTTTCATATCGAAATGTTAAAAAAAAATGAAACAAAGTCGGAATTTTTATAACCTCATTTCTTCAATAAAATCCCACCCAATAAGTTCACTTGACGCTTAATTATCTTAATTGCTGTAAGGGATATCGAATAATTGCCAACCGATGATTTATTTATCATGATACCGCCACTATTTTATCAGTTGACATATTTTTGATATATCTAATGGGAATGGAGATAATCAAGCCGGAAGTGTAAGTGATGGGGGACTATTAGAACAAATACCGTAATCAGGCAAAATCGAGTATATGGGCTTCCACAGATCTAACGAAAAATTCAGGTCAATAACTATTTTTAGTATCTTCCAAGTTCTAGACTTACTTCCGGCTTTTTAAGTCAAGAGTTTTACGAATTTTATAGAAATCCAGAATTCCATTTTTTTCAATTTTTCCTTTGGTAGAAACATCCTCATGAATTCTTTCAAAAAGACATTTTGCCTCAAAAGGACCTAGTCAGAAACTACAATTTCTTAGATTATAGGTCAATCATGTGGTGCTTCTGACTCAAAAGTCACTTCGAGATTCCAATGAACGATGATCAAACTAGATACATAGGTATTCAAAAATCCAATTTTCAGACCTATGTCTGTTTTGACTGCACTCCTGTTAAAAACATGGTCACCGAACAACGCCTCTTCAAACATCGTAGCAAATTCCATCGTGGTGCGAATTCAGGATTCTCCTGCAAAGAATGCCTAAAACGATTTTTGACACCACGAAAACTTCGGAAGCATATGAAAATGTCTCATGTCTTCACAACCACATATCAGTGTCATTTTTGCGATGAGCTTTTCATTAATGAAACTGCGGTGAGAAAAATTTCATTTTTTTCTCACTAATGAACATTTTTCAGCGTTATACCCACGAGAGAATTCACACGGGAATTATCAAGTTCGAATGTCAAATCTGCGATTATCGTGCTAATAGATATAGTGACATGGAGGTACTGTACCGGTCATTGAGATATAAAAAAATATTTTTCAGTGATTGAACCATTTTCAGGAGTCTGAACTCAACTCTTAAGTTACCAAACACTCAGAGCTAAGTTTAAAACTTTGCATTCACAAAATTTCTAGAAAACTTTCAGTTTCTGAGTAAATTGCCGCTTTCTGAAGAACTTGTTTTTTTTAGTTTTCAGTACAAAAACGGGCCCAAAACGAATGGACAACCATTCTGTAAAAGTGTTTAATCTAGACTTTTTTACACCCTTTACTACTTTTAAAATGATCGGAAACCTGACAGCCGAGCTCCTGTCTTCTGAAAATGATCAAAATATTCGAAAACCGTCGAAAACAAGTTTCTGCATATTCTGTTGACCGCTCCTATTGGTCAAATCCAGGACCCCTTAAGTGTGCCAATACACCATTTTCAAATGAATATCTTTGATAAAAGGATCATCATGTGTGGGCTAAATGTTATCGTCACGGAGATTAGTGACAAAAAGTAGAGAATAACAATATAAATCAATGTTATTACGCGAATTGGGGAAGTCGGGGAGTCACAATGAGATTATTCTTTCCATCCCATGACATTCATTAAAGTCACTGAACTTTTGTTTTTTCATTCCAGGAGCATAATCTCAATGAGCACGGTTACGTCTGCCCAATTTGCCAGCACAAGACAATGATTCAGGGTGATATGAGTGGCCACGTCTTCAAAACACAGGATATCTAGCATCAAAAGATTCAATTTGTAAGGGCGACAGGGTTTCAAAAAGCTTGGTAAGAAATCGCGTCCCGTATAATTTTAAACCGGACAAAACCGCTGGGACGCAATTTCTGACCAAACCTTTTGGAATCCAGTGAGGAGAGATGTGTAGTGATTTTTAAAATGAAAAACAATTTTTGTTCCAGCGTACATCGAGTCTCCTCGCTTGTGGATGCTCTTCAAAGGCGAGTGATACGTCACCACAGCTGCTTCCTTTTTCGGAAATAGCCGATGCTCCTACCACGCCTTCCCTTTGCTCCCCTTTGCTCTTCCATGCTCTTCAATTTCATTTTATTAGATAAGGCCGCATCCCGTATTCTTTTCATCGTCAAGGGGCATCCCCACTCTTGTTCTCTTTGTACCCATTCCTATTTCATTCTCTGCATTTTTCACCAGATTTCTCATTTACTCCCCTCTATCCGATCATTTCTTGTCCCAATCATCATTTCCACTTTATATCAATTTTCCTGCCTACTGTTTCTCTTAAAACGGCTACCTAGGTTGATATTTCAGGCAATAAATCATTTTAGGGTAAAATGAAGATGATGGACATCATCATTGTTCCCATGAGAATCTTTATCACGAGAGAGCGACTAGAAAGCAATAAATCGTACATGACCACAATCACACCGCAGCTGTATACAAAAAAAAATTGCCCCTGGGAAGAAGCGGGGGCACGCATGTGTGATTCAATGAACCATGGAGGTAAGTGAGAAGTTTTTTTGAACTTGCTCACGCAACCGGAGCATTCTCTCTTTTTTTTTTGAAAAAAAATGCATTGTGTGAGTCAGGAAGAGAGAGTTCGGAACCAGCAGGGACCTCAGAAAGAAAGAGAGAGAGAGAGAGAGAGAGAGAGAGAGAGAGAGAGAGAGAGAGAGAGAGAGAAAGGGAAGAGAGAGAGAGAGAGAGAGAGACGTGTGTGCGTTTTTTTCCCTGTGTATTTGTATGTGGATGCCGAAGGCCTAAGTGTGAGAGCGAGTGTGGAGGAAGAGCGTGATAGCAAGAGGCGGATAGGGAAAAAAGGGGCGAATCGAGAAGACACAGTGCGATAAAGAAAAAAGGCGAAAGACACGGGCAAGAAAAGAAGTGTGTGATGTGTATATGTATGTGTGCGAGACGCCTTTGGCTTGATGGTGAGCGTGAGTGAGGTGCGTGAGATCGAGAGAGAGAGAAAGAGAAGAAAGAAGAGAGAGAGAAAGTCGGAGCGCGGGAAAAAGTAGGGAGAGGAGGAGGTCCAATAAGCGACGAGCGTTAGAGTGAGAGTGTCTGAGAGCGCGTGTATGTATGTATATGTGCGTCTGGTGGTAAAACTCTATGCACTCTCTGTTTTAACTTACGACACTATCTTGTCGCATTCAGGCGCCACACCAACTCTGCAATGGCTGCGGCTGCGCCAAAGCGGCGTATGGGCCTTGAAAAGGTGGGTGTTCTGTTTTTTTTCTTGTTGTTGTTGTTGTTGTCCTTCTCTTCGTGCTCCTTCTCTCTCATCAATCTTTCTACTCTTGGGGGCTCTGATTCTGCAGCATTGCCGCTCTAATTAGATGACTCATTTGGTTTAATGGGATTGCTTAGAAGAAATGAGCTTTGAGACTTGGTACTTTTTGAGTACATTGTAAAATTTAAAGAACACTTTTGAGACTTTCATGGGAACCCGTTTCATCTTAGATTAGAAATCTTTTCTGGGGATACGTCCCGATAAATCAAGCCGGCGGGACACTTGTGGGATGCTTGAGAAGAGTTCGTTTTTTTGCTCTTTTCCGTCCGTTCAGGAATTTTTTCGCCAGCTTCCTCCTTTTTTTCTCATCCATTTTCCCATTTTTCTGAGAGTTTTCGATTACCTCTTCCTCACCCCGCTCCTTCTCTCACTCCCTCTTTCTCTTTATCCAGAGAATATTTGAAATTGAAGTTTGGGAAAAAAAGTTTTAGAAGCAGAAGAGAGCATTTTTGAGATCAAGAGTTTGAGAGTGGAGACTACATATACTAGTTGGTGGCAATTTAATTTTCCGTCGCTTAGTTTGAGGAAACAGATGCCAAACGTTTCTTAAACGATTATTTATGCCTGAGTGATCAATCGCTTTGCCGCGATTAAAACCTCATGTGTTTTCAGTTTTTGTTGGACTGCGTGATTTTCGCCTCGAAATTTTTTTCTGCCTCCTCTTCTTCCAAGGAACTCGGCTTCCGATGCGATTATGTACTTACTTGTTGCATAGAAAATTTACTGGCTATTCTGACACACACACCCTCTCCTCGTGCATTTTAGCATTTTTATTGGCACAATTCTCCTCTCTCAGATGTTGTAGATCTCATTAGAAAAAGGAAAGAGCAGCAAAAAGTCGATTAGTTTTCCTTTTGTCTTTCTCTTCTTGATCTTTACCGCGAGAGGGAAAGAAAGTCTGACATTCAGAAGTTTCCCATGGCGCCTGGCATAAACTCCTTCAAAAAATCCCATAAACTTTCTTTCTGCTTCCCAACCGTTGTCAACCATGTGGATTCGATTCAGTCTTCTCCTTTGAGGCCTTCTTATTCAATGCAGAAGGTAGTGTATTACACAAATTTGACACTGTTTGTGTGATCAGAGTTTGTCAAACTTGTATTATGAATTTTTTATTTTTTTTCTATCGCCTAGAAAAAGGGCATCTAATGATGATGAAAGTATCATCCATTTTATAATAATTGAATTCTTCTGCACGCGCCGCTCCGTGCTGCTACAAACCACATATGGAGTTAAGAGCGGGTGGAACGATTCCATTCCACAAAACAAATATTGCTAATATAGTCAACAGAGGGAGCGCGGGAAAACAGGCGGAAGGAAAAAAAGCGAACTGACAGTTTGTTTTCAGTCATGAACTCTATTATGTTTCAGATAGGTCTGTATGATGTTGGTCGTGCGATTGGAAAGGGGAATTTCGCGACGGTTCGGATAGCACGGCACAGGATTGCAAAGACCAAGGTTCGTTGTTTAACATAAATCATAGAATTAGAGCAGCTGCTTTTTTGGTTGCATAAAAATTATGATTTTTAATTTATGATTCATTGAGAACAAATCTAGATTACTGTAGTTTTTTCAGCCAAATAGAGAAAAAGTGTTCTTGAAATCCCTCTTAATCCCAGATGTTCAGTGTACTATTTTTGACCTTCATTCTGATTTTCAATCCTTACGAAGAAGTATTACAAAAGACTTTATAATCCTTGAGGATTTTCAGGTGGCAGTGAAAAGTATTGATGTATCAAAACTGGATAAAGAGAACCTGATAAAGCTGGAAAGGGAGGTGAAGATAGTCACAATGATCGACCATCCGCACATTGTCAAATGTTATGAGGTACCGTAATCTGGATCAGAAAAATAGGCTGAAGTTCATATTTTCAGATCATGAGGGTTGACAACATGTTATACATTGTAAGCGAATACTGTAGCACGGGAGAGTTATATGGTAGGAATTAAGCTGAAAAATGCAAAATTGATTTGGAAAAATTTTCAGCTACTCTGATGGGAAAAGGTCGTGTGACAGAGGATATTGCTCGAAAATGGTTTACTGAAACGGCAGCTGCAGTGTCCTATCTTCACAATAAAGGAATAGTGCATCGGGATTTGAAAACGGAGAACATTTTATTAGGCAAAGATTCGAAAATCAAATTGATTGGTGAGCCTCGTATCATATTTTATCTAATGGAAGCCCGCTTGCACTTTGAGCTCAATTATCACAGTTTATTCAAGAGACATCGACTAATTTTCAATTAGTAGATTATTTATCATGATATCACTCATATTTTGTTAGTTGAGAGATTCTTGATAGCTTTTATAGAAACCGAGATAATTGAGCTTAAGCGTAGGCTTCTTTTAGATGGGGTATTTTACTTTGGTTGTTGCTAATCTTAAAAATTTCAGATTTTGGGTTTTCAAATTTTCAAACTCCCGATCAACTGCTGAACACATGGTGCGGTTCACCTCCCTATGCGGCACCGGAATTGTTATTAGGTACCTCACTTCTAGGAAACAAGAAAAAAAAATGCATAACCTTTTGCAGGTAACTCGTACGACGGCATGAAAGCTGATATCTGGTCCATGGGTGTGTTGTTATACATTCTCGTGACTGGCGGATTTCCTTTCGGCAGTGAATCAGTAAACGATCTCAAGAGATCCGTTCTCTCTGGCGTCGTTAAGATTCCGTATTGGGTTTCTGTTGGTGAGTGTGACACTTCTCGGGGTGGTGGCAGACCGGAAGACAGATGACGTAATCGTTCTTTCCCTTCTTTTCAGAATGTGCTGATTTCATTCGGAAAATGCTCGTGTTGAATCCCACGAAACGAATGACAATCCAGAACGTTCTCGCACATAGATGGATGCACATTAGGAATGATGTAAAGAAGCAGGTGCAGAATCTTGAATCATCCATCCGACCAACGCCCAGTAAGCTGAATCCAACGATTATGATGTTCATGCAACAGCATGGCAAGTGGACCGAAGAGCAAATTATTGATGTGAGTGGGAGATTTTAAGCACTTTTTTCATTCTATTTATACTTCGTTCTGCTCTTCCGCTTTTCAATAGTTTATCCGGTTGAATGGCTCTGTACTCTCTGTTCAGCTCTTTTATTGGAGCATTTCAAAGGAGCACATGTTTATAACATCGGGGATTGATCACCATCAAAAAATATATCAACATTTCTAAAACACATATAATCATTTCCGACTTTGAACCTGTTTATCAGGTTTCATCGACCACTAGACACTTTGTGTCATTATCAAAAGCATATATGTTGCAGATAGTGTGCTTTGAAACGGACGAAAAGAACCAGAAAGCATTTTTAGGAGAAAAAAGGACATATCACACAATAGATATCAGAAATAGGTGTTCTATAAATAGGACATGATGTAGAAAATAGAAAAAATTAGATGCAAACACATAAAAAGATGGTCAAAGTGATAAGAATAAACCCCTCTCTTTTTTCAGGCCGTCTTGGGACGCAACTTTGAAAGCCCGATTTTCGCAACATACGAATTGTTGGCTGATAAGGTCAAAATCGGGTCTCTTGAAGGTTTGATCAAGAAAAAATAAAAGATGAATAATGGCGAAACGTTATGGTTTTAAGGTACAGGTGAAGAGTATCCAAGAAGAGGTTCGCGGGGATCAATTCTGAGTGGTCGGGCAAACGTCGATGAGCAACCACTAACACCAACTATATCGGCTCATCAGCTGGCACAGCTGAATTTGTCGAGTCCGGATTGTGTATGTGAAAAAAAAAAACGTTGGGGATAGAAATAGTTATTTGATTTTCAGGATTCCGATGACTCATCGAACTCTGATCTGTGCGATGAATCTCCATTGAGCTCACTGGAACCAAATCATAAGCAGTTTACGTTACCAAGGGGATTGGATCTAATGGGAAATAGATTTGAAAATCGGTAAGAGTATACAGTACCGGTCAATAAGACATGCATACAAAATATGTATTACTGTTGAATTTCGGCCATCTTCAGGAATCTTGAGCTCTGTTGTCAAGTTTTGGACTGTTTTGAACATTTCAGAGAGTGTAAAACTGACCTAGTTTAAAAATTTGTAATCACAGAAATTTTCAAAAAATCCTAACTTTTAAGCTTTTTGCCGATTGCTGAAATACATCTGATTTGGCTCGTTTTTGTATTGAAAACAGAAGAAAATAGGCGTTTTTTAGAATTCGGCAAATAGTTGCAAAACTAGGAAATTTTAAAAAAATTCTGTGAATGCAAAGTCTGCAATCTAGGATTGTTTTACTTGCTCAAAAATTTCTAAGTGATTGGAAACTTGTCCGTCGAGCTCCATTCTCTTAAAATTGGGCAAAATCGACTCAAAAATGCGCATTTTTTGCAAACTTTATTTTCTCATTTCTAAAACTTTGGATAAAATTCAACTTACAACCTCGACACACAAATCGGAGGGTACAATATTTCGGAGATACTAGGGGGTATAAAGTGATTTGAAATCACAAAATCCACTATTCGCGGGTACAAAATTCAAAATTCTCAGGTATTTTTTGCGCCCGAATTCAGGATACTTTATCACTGAATCATTTTGCACCCCAATGACAACAAAATTTTTGTAACCGCCATGATTTTCCTACATTCTCATCTCAATAATAACATTTTCAGACGCCACACACTCTGTGCTAGTGAGCAACTGCTATCACCAAACCTGATGGGACAGTTTCCACCTCCAAATCTTCTACTCAACAACTTCACAATGAGTCCTCTTGGTTTTCCACCAATGCCTGAAGGACAAGCTGCCGAATTCCCGTTCCCATCGTTACACCCAGCGCTTGGCGCGTTTCCAACAACAGATCTGTCCAAAATGCTTCCAGTGCCCAAAAGTGAACGTCGCGCGTCTGCAGGAGAAACTTTATTACCCACGAATTTCGATCTTCAGCAACATCTTGCAAATCTGTCCGCTAATCCAGTTTCATTTCCAACTGTTGAAGAAGAAGGAAGATCGTATCTTGCAAAATATGGTGGCAAAAGAAACACTGTACATTGTCTTGGGAACCAAATTGGAGGTGGTGTACAAAATCCCATTCCAAGGTATCAAAGAACACCGTATGCAAAAGCGCCGCCAGCGGAGAGAAGGAGCAGTTGGGCTTCACCATCATTATCCCAACAACAACAGTCTCATCTTGAGAAGATCTTTAAAGATGCTTTACAAACAAACAACGACATCTCCAGGTTGCACAAAGAGTTCAAAAATCTTTCTCATGGATGTGCACAATCACAGTAGGAGATTTTCAGGCCATCTTAATCAATCAGGAAGTGTTTTTTTTCAGAATCACCAACGAGGGAAGCTCACTGGCGTGCCCACAAATATCAATAACCGACGAGTACAACCGACAACATAACATTGCTCCATCCGCTTCCTCATTTGATCCGGTTAGCATATTCCAAAAAAATGTAAGTTCAACACTTTTGCTGATTATATAAATTGAATTTCTCAGGCGCAAGAAGTGGTTTTTGGCCAACGACCCGCGACGGCGATCGGCTTCTCATCGACTTCTTTTTCGGGAATGTCAACGCCGGAGCAAACCACCAGAAGCATGGATGATCGAGTCAGGGTGAGAAATAGAGGAGAGAGGTCTTTGAGCAGAAAAGAAAATGTTTATATAAATAGGTGCATTTGGAGAGTGTCTCTTACAACTTACAACTTGATTAGCAGCGATAATCGAAATAATTTTAGTCAATTTTAGTTTTCTAGTAGGAGAGTTATGACAAAATATTGCTGCCGCACGCTTCTGTAGATATTTAATACAGAGTGTTTTGCAAAAACAGAAAAGGGATTAAGGAATTGAAAATTTCAGATAAGCCCAGAAAAATTGATTTTCAAGTCTCGAAACAAAGGCAAAGAAGTTTATAATCTAAAAATCTGAGAATCTAAAAATTTCAGATATCTAGGATCGTAGAATCTCAGAATTTCAGAATTTCAGAATTTCAGAATTTTAAAACTTTAAAATTTTCATGATTGCAAAAATCGTTGAAAGTCCGGCCCGGAAAGGAATTTTTTCGGTAGAAACTTCTCAACAAAAAAAAAAATTTTTTTGATCAATTTTTTTTCACAAAATATTAGTTTTTGAGAAAAAAAAATGTTATTTTGCTTCAAAAATGCAATTTTCAGTCCGACCCCACCTCCGGAAAAAGGTCAGCAAAAAATAATTTTTTTTAATTTTGTTTAAGCATTAAACACTCAATATTTACAATTCAGCTTGATTAGATGTCAAACACAACTTTTTTCCAAAAAAAAAACAAGCTTTTTTTCCAAGATCAGAATCTCAGAATGTCAGAATCTCAAAATCTCGAAATTTCAAAATCTAGAAATCTCATAATCCCAGAATCTAAGAATTCGAAATTCCCAGTTTTCATTCTTGAATTATAGGACTTGCTTCTCATTAATTTCAAAATATAACAAACTTTGTGATGTACAGTATACCTTCTCAACGTTTTCGTTCTGAAATTGATAATCAAATCAAAATAATTTCAAAATGTATTGAAAATTGAAAAACATGTTTCAGAGCATTGTGTGCACACTACCATTTGCCGAAGTTGTGGAGGAGCTAAAATCCAGTTTGAACATTCTCAAGATCCCATTTGCAGAGACTCAGGAAATGGTTTACGAGCCACAAGGTTTGTTTGAAAGTTTAAAATTTCTTCTTGAATTTTGAATTTCGCGTAGGGCGAAACATCTATGAGCAGAATTCTATTAAATTTATTCTAACAGCTCTCATAAACCGCTCAACCAGGCCCTGATACTGAAAATTTCGCCGACGAAAAATCTGTGTAAAAATCAGATAAGGGTCCCCCTTATGTTTTGCAATTTTTCGAAAAATATCAGTTGGTGAAAATTCGCGTAATGGTCCCCCTTTTGGTTTTTCTCAATTTTCAAAAAATATCAGTAGGTTATTATCACATAAGGATCCACCTTTTGGTTTTTCAATTTTTCAAAAAGTAACAAAAAATATCACTAGGTGTATATCACTCTATCACTAGGTGTATATCACTCGTATCAGGGACTGCCGCTCAACTTTCAACCTTAAGTAATTTTTAATCTAATTTTCTGTAAGAGATAACGAAAGTATTCAACGGATGAAATGTTTGACATATTAACACAAATATTTTAGAACTTTTTGATATCTCTTGCAGAAGCCGAGATAAATTGGCTTAAAAAATCGAGGGGTCACTATTAGATTTTTTACAGTATTTTCCCCAAAAATCTAATCCCAACCAGACCGGCCGGGGTCGTGATTAAAAGTTTAAACCTGAACTGATCCTAATCATTCATTTACAGTAACCGAAATGCGTCGTCTCTCCCTACCATCTGGTGTCGAGATCGGAGTTGCCGTATTACCTCCAGAGCATAAATCTCACGTGGAATTCGCAATCATCAACAACGATTCTCCAACTTCTGAAATCTTGTGCGACCAGTTGATTTGCCGACTACGAATGATTGATCCCAATTGGAGTTCCGAGTGATCAAGTCATCCCCCCCCCCCCCACCCCTCCCATCGTCTTACCAGTTTCAAAACCATCTCAAAAATCCCTCTTAGTATCATTCCTTTATAACAATCAGGAAGTTACAACACTCTTCAGAGAAAACACTACTTCACTGATTTTGTAAAAAATAACGAGTTTCAATTTTTTTTTGAAAATAATTTTTTGGGTGTTTGCTAAATAATTTCCAGTATTAAATATTTGAAAATATTTGGAATCCGTGTATTTTTTCCCTACTTTTTTCATCGCTCACGATTAGAGTTAGTCAAGTTTCCTAGTTATAAACTTAGTCTCACATTTAGCCCTTTTCCCCAAGTCTGCCTTATTTTTTGTATGTATATGCTCATCAACTCCCCCCCCCCCCCAAATCAGCCTTCAATCTATCTGCAATTCTATTTTTCTTTGTAAGATATCGAGAATCATGTCAGTTTCTTTACTCCCATCTTCAAACAACTCGCAGAATCCCAAACAACAAAAAAAAATATTCACACCAGCCACCCTTCGTTTTGCGTGTACAAACTCTGATACGAAACCGATGATCCCAATTCGCTAGTGTCTTTCTTTTACTTAACTCTCATTACCTTGTTTTTTGTATCATTTTTGCTTTTTTCCCACGACTTTCGAGCCGAAAGCACTTTGTAATTTTCTTTTTGTATACCGCCCTGAATTTACCAGTTTTGCCTATTCCCACTCCACAAAATTCTAAGTCAATCCCCGCATCCACATTTGAACTGTCATTACTTGTACCGTCTAGTGTTTTTTCTGTCTTCGTGATATTCTTTTCTTCCAATGTTGTGAACACTTTTTCCGGAAACGACCTTCTTTTCTGTTTTTAAAAATAAAAGTTTTATTTTGTCAATTTGTTTCAGTGAGCTTGCAATATGGAGCACAAAACTGTGAGTTCTCTAATTTTGAAATTTTGAAACACGTTGAAATAATCCGATTTGTAGATCAATAGTTCAACAAAATTCGTAATTGATAAGTGTTGAAGTTTTTAAGCCATTGGAAGAAGATAGTGAGAAGTCAAACATTTCAAAGATGTGCATCATCTATTCAAAGTTTCAGAAACGAGTCTGCTATTTTAAGATTCTAAGATTCTGAGATTCTAAGATTCTAAAATTCTGAGATTCTGAGATTCTGGGATTCTGAGATTCTGAGATTCTGAGATTCTAAGATTCTGAGATTCTGAGATTCTGAAATTCTGAGATTCTGAGATTCTGAAATTCTGAGATTCTGAGATTCTGAGATTCTGAAATTCTGAGATTCTGAGATTCTGAGATTCTGAGATTCTGAGATTCTGAGATTCTGAGATTCTGAGATTCTGAGATTCTGAGATTCTGAAATTCTGAGATTCTGAGATTCTGAGATTCTGAAATTCTGAGATTCTGAAATTCTGAGATTCTGAGATTCTGAGATTCTGAGATTCTGAGATTCTGAGATTCTGAGATTCTGAGATTCTGAGATTCTGAGATTCTGAGATTCTGAAATTCTGAGATTCTGAGATTCTGAGATTCTGAGATTCTGAGATTCTGAGATTCTGAGATTCTGAGATTCTGAGATTCTGAGATTCTGAAATTCTGAGATTCTGAGATTCTGAGATTCTGAAATTCTGAGATTCTGAAATTCTGAGATTCTGAGATTCTGAGATTCTGAGATTCTGAGATTCTGAGATTCTGAGATTCTGAGATTCTGAGATTCTGAGATTCTGAGATTCTGAGATTCTGTGATTCTGAGATTCTGAGATTCTGAGATTCTGAGATTCTGAGATTCTGAGATTCTGAGATTCTGAGATTCTGAGATTCTGAGATTCTGAGATTCTGAGAATCTGAGATTCTGAGATTCTGAGATTCTGAGATTCTTAGGCTCCAAGATTTGAAGATTCTAAGATTCTAAGACCCAGAGATTTCAAGATTCTGAGATTCTGAGATTTTCAGATTCTAAGATTCTAAAATTCCGAGATTCTGAGATTCTGAGATTCTGAGATTCTAATATTCTAAAATTCTGAGATTCTGAGATTCTGAGATTCTGAGATTCTGAGATTCTGAGATTCTGAGATTCTGAGATTCTGAGATTCTGAGATTCTGAGATTCTGAGATTCTGAGATTCTGTGATTCTGAGATTCTGAGATTCTGAGATTCTGAGATTCTGAGATTCTGAGATTCTGAGATTCTGAGATTCTGAGATTCTGAGATTCTGAAATTCTGAGATTCTGAGATTCTGAAATTCTGAGATTCTGAGATTCTGAGATTCTGAGATTCTGAGATTCTGAGATTCTGAGATTCTGAGATTCTGAGATTCTGAGATTCTGAGATTCTGAGATTCTGAGATTCTGAGATTCTGAGATTCTGAGATTCTGAGATTCTGAGAATCTGAGATTCTGAGATTCTGAGATTCTGAGATTCTGAGATTCTTAGGCTCCAAGATTTGAAGATTCTAAGATTCTAAGACCCAGAGATTTCAAGATTCTGAGATTCTGAGATTTTCAGATTCTAAGATTCTGAGATTCTGAGATTCTGAGATTCTGAGATTCTGAGATTCTGAGATTCTGAGATTCTGAGATTCTGAGATTCTGAGATTCTGAGATTCTGAGATTCTGAGATTCTGAGATTCTGTGATTCTGAGATTCTGAGATTCTGAGATTCTGAGATTCTGAGATTCTGAGATTCTGAGATTCTGAGATTCTGAGATTCTGAGATTCTGAGAATCTGAGATTCTGAGATTCTGAGATTCTGAGATTCTGAGATTCTTAGGCTCCAAGATTTGAAGATTCTAAGATTCTAAGACCCAGAGATTTCAAGATTCTGAGATTCTAAGATTCTAAAATTATGAGATTCTGAGATTCTGAGGTTCTAAGATTCTGAGATTCTGAGATTCTGAGATTTGGAGAGTCCGACATTTTCAGGTTCTGAGACTCTGATATTCTTAAAAAGGGAGATGCTGAAATTCAAAATTTCCGAAATTGAAGAATTTAGTAATTTTGAGATTCTAAGGTCGTGAAACGTCAATATTCCAAAGTTCTGGAATTCCCAACTTTTGAGATTTTGTGATTTCAAAGTTCTTGGGTTAATGAAAATGTATTTTTTTAATGTCAAAATTTGAGAGTTTGAATACTGAAAACATGTAAGTTTTCAAAGTTCGAGAATGTCTTGGGGTTATCCTGTCCTTATTCTTTGAAGTTCTGACGAATTTCAGAATATTGTTATTTAGAAATCTGTGTTTTAGTGTTTTCAAACCGAGAAGTTGTGTAATTTGAGCTGTTACTTTTTGTACTGTTTACCACTGATCACAGTTCGAAAATCCAAAATTGATATTTCATAACAGCGTCCCGCCTGATAAACAATGATTTATTTATTGGAATCACCTGTTCCCAAAAATCCAGCGAATTCCAAAATCACACGTCTTTCTCATTTTTTTTTGTCTCATTTCTCAAACGTTTTATGAGTCTTCTGACCTGATAAAATCAACTGATCTTTTTTCTCATTTATCAACTAATATCTTTAAAAATAGCTCCAGTTTTATGTACCTAAGAGCCTTGGGGCTCCCCGGTAAGCTTAACAAACGGTTTATTTTCTCAAGAAAAATTTGTCTCTCTCTCTGCCCCACACCCCATATCGCATTTCGAAAATCTTTTCACAAGTTCTTGTTCTCTCACCCCATAGCTTCACTTCCGCTTCTCCTTCTTATTAGATTTATTTTTTTTCTCTATCTTGAAAAATGTTGGTTTAATAATGTTCCTCCTCTTTATTCCTCTTTATTGCCACCTCCTTGGTCATAAAACGCTGATATTACACTAGTTTTATGAAGTTTCCTTCTTTTTTCTTTTCTTGTTTATCTCCTTCAGCTGGTCGGCTGGACAAAGTGTAATAGAGGTTTTTTTTGCCAGAGAGTTCATTTCGAAAATTTTCGTTTTCTCTGCAGCAGCGAAGATTGATGAAGGGACACATGTGTGCACAAATTGAACAAAGAGACAGTTCAGATGCATTGCACTTTCCCTTAAATTTTCCTTTTCCACACTTTTTAGTTTTAGTATTGGTGTGGAGTTCTTATCTCTAGGTGAGGCCATTTTATCATTTTATGTCTTTTAATATTAATTTTACTGCACTTTCGATTCCTTTGTCTTCAAAGTTGCTTGACAGGTAGAATCAAGGAAACTTTCTTTTCATTTTTCCAAGAAAGCATTACACGATCTACTGTACGAAATGCACTTTTTTGAAAGGTCTCGTTTCACGAGCCAAAATTTTTAAATACCTAAATGACACATAACGTTTGTTCAGCAAAAAGCGATATGCGAAAATATGAGGGAGGGGGAGGTCACAGGAAGGGGGGACGTGGTGCATTCCCTCTTACTAGCAGAGTATTGATTTTCTGTTGCGCTAAGCATTCTCTGCGTCAACTTCCAGAAACTTCTATTGCGTCATTTTATCTTTTAAGTAGTTTTGCGAATACCTTAAGATCTTCTTATACCATTTACGTGAGCAAAATAAGAGGAAAAAGAAATAAAAAATAGTAAAGTCTTCTTCTGATGACCACACAACTTGATTAAGGCGCCAGATGACGTGATGACGCCGTGTCTATATAATATTCTAGATTCTTGTTGTTTATAAAACACTTTCGATAATCAAAAAATGATGATCCCTCTTCGCCCTCTTTCTCAAAAAAGCATGTGGTTTTCTTGTGACTCCTTCTCTTTTTTTTTCGTCTTCCGTGCTAATAAAACCGGAGAAAATGGGATGTTTTGCTCTTGTTTTAGAAGCCGCGCATGTTCCTTCTCTTCTTTTCGTTTTTTTTTTGCAGTTTCAGAAATGATACATTCTTTTTTCAGAGCGAATAGAAAAGAATACAACAATCATGCAGCCCGTCGATCGTTCGTTTTACAAAAGAAACCCATCGGAGAGGTGAGTGATACTTTTATGATTCGTGGAAAATAAAAATGCGCGGGAACAAAAAGTGTTGGCAATACCAAAAAAAGGTATATAGCATCAGTCGAAAAGATATTTTATAGAAAAACGTATTTTTCACCGGATTTTCGGCCATTTTGATCATTTTCTGCCAGATTTCCAGACTCCTATACAGTTTTTCAGTCGATTTTCGACCATTTTGACTAGTTTCAAGAGCCTGAAGCATGACTATCAAGTTTCCGATCAATTTGAAAATGTTTGAAGGTGTAAAACAGACCTATACTGAGAACTTGGCGTTCACAGAGTTTTTCGAAAATTCCTTTTTTTTTAGTTTTTTGCCGATATCTAAAATATGCCTTTTTTGGACCATTTCGTACTGAAATCATGAAAAACCGGTGTCCATCAGAAATCGGCCGATAGCTGAAAAACGAGGATTTTTCGATAAATTCTGTGGATCCTAAGTTTTGAATCTAGGTCTGTTTTCTGTTTATACCTTCCAACACTTTCAAAGCGTTCGGAAATTAACTAGCCGAGCTCCAGACTACTGAAAATGGTTAAAAGGACCAAAAGTTAATTGAAAAAAATTGTGTTGTTCGTTTTCTCTTTTTTGTTCTCCAGCAATGAGCTGTGTTGACCAGTAGAATCGCAAAAAAAAGAACGTCACTTCTTCTTCTCTGTTCCGTACACTCTTCAAGAACGCACCAAAATTGATGGGTGTAGGGGGAAAGGCGACGAAGAAAAAAGACAACAGAAAAGAGGAGCACTGCGAATTCAACAATAGTCCGTGCTCTCATACGGGAGCATGAGAGCACAAAAAAGAAGTTGGAGGGGTACTTGCTCTGCTTTAAACCTTCGAACTTGTTACCTCATTCTTTTTTCCCCCTATTTTGAAATATCCCTCCCACCTCAAATTTTTTTTTGTTAGTTTCTTCGCTAGGAAATTGCTCTGTCATGCGTAAACTTTGTTTGGGTAGGTGGTTTTAGGAAGAGAATAGAATCAGAAAGTATAGCAGAAATTATTATAGTGGAACATTTGAAAAATTCGAGGTGACACTTATAAAGGATATTCGTTCCGGACGAGTGAAAATTTTGAAAATCGAGGAAATTCAAGGTCGCATAATTTTTTTCTCGCAACTTTTTTTGATTTGAGAGCCATCCCTGATTTAGATTTTAAAAAGTGCATATGCAATTATCACGGTCACTTTTTCTTTCACATGCAATAGTTCCATTTCCATTCACTCCTCTCCTTCCAACTATCGTTCCGCTCCTCCCTCTCCTTGGTTGCATTGTCAGATTCCAAAGACGCAGAGGCTTTATTGCCCTACAGACAGCAACAGCAACCGAGAAAAATGCGTTGATAAGTTCCTTAATTTGAGGTCTGCCCACTACAAAAGAGGCCACTGGGTGTCTCAACACCCGGGTCGTCGTCCTCGTTATCATTTCTTATCGTTGAGGGCTCTTGGAGTCGACTCAGGGTTTAATTCACTTTTGCACTTTTTTCGCCGTTTGATTTCTTTGCTCTCTCAAGGTCCATATATCATTAATATCGTTAATTTTTTTCTGGCGCCACTCGAACTAACCAAACACGGAACAAAAATGGTTAACTGGTCTTCGAATGTCGATGAAAGGTATATTTACCTGGTGTGGCTCAGCTATCAAGGCTTCTAGCATCTAGAACATGCTGACAGCAATTAGAAAATTAATACTATGTCTGAAATTTCTGAAAATTCCAGAGTCTTCGTCAACAGATCTCTCCGATTGGAGAAGATCACTCATTTTGGGTTCGATATGGACTACACCCTAGTTCGTGAGTTGCTCATTTTTAGTTCCCAAATCTTAAAAAATTATTTTTCAGAGTACAAGACTCCAGATATGGAGTACCTCGCATTCAACATGGCCGTTCAACGCTTGGTAGACACTGGATATCCAGAGGAAATCTTAAATTTCAAATACGATCCAATTTTCCCAGTTCGTGGTGAGTTTTGCATCAGCCCAGATTCCATTTGTTGCTCACATGTCATTTTGAAATAGTTGACCTGTCTGCCAATCCAATTAAAATGGAATGACAGATCATGCGAAACGCCATAAACTTTTGTATTCTGGTTTAGGGAACAAGATTGCAATCTGAATTTTTTATGGTTGAAACAAAAAAAAACTTCTGCGGGATGTGTGACCGTCATATGTCTAAAAACAGTCGTCGTAAATCTTTATCTTATCGTGAACGACATCTTGCGGTTTTCCTTGACATAGAACTTGAATACGACGAATTTTATTGGTAGGAGAGGGAAAGCGGCGACCTCGGTCTTCAAGCCTAATCCGAAGAAAAAATTGCATAAAAGTTCATCGAGGTGTGTGTAATCTTCATCTAATCGGAGGGTAAGCGGGGTGTAAGATGGTATTAGGGGTGGAAAAGATAGTGGACAAATCGTCTTAAAAAAATACTATTCCCAATTTTTTCTCAGGTCTCTGGTTTGAATTCCAATATGGTAACTTGCTCAAAGTTGATGGATTTGGAAATATTCTTGGTGGAATTCATGGGCTGCGTTTCTTGAAGAAGTATGACTTATAAGTTCACAGAATTATCAAAAACCCACTTTCAGCCATGAAATCGAGGAGATGTACCCGAACAAGTACCTTCCACTCTCCGACTCCCGTGTCTATGTGCTGAACACGTTGTTCAACATGCCAGAAACGCATCTTATCTGTCAGCTTATTGACTTCTTCGACAAGCACGATAACTATTCGCAGTAAGTGAAGTTAGCGCGACGGGAGAACTGCAAAAATTGGAAAATTCCAGGCTCACTGATAAGACCGGAGTGAAGGGTGGCGAAGTGATGATGTCATACAAGTCCATCTTCCAAGATTTGAGAAGAGTCATTGACTGGGTTCATGTGGAGAGCTCGATGAAGAAGCAAGTGATGGACGATCCAGAGAAATATGTCATCCGTGACGAACGTGCTCCAAAATTTTTGTCCCAGCTCCGTGAGCACGGCAAGAAGACCTTCCTTCTCACCAACAGTGACTGGGCCTATACCAATGTGATGATGAAATTCATTCTGGGAGATGACTGGAAGTCTTATTTCAATATCATTGTGGTTGATTCATGCAAGCCAAGATGGTTCGCCGAGGGTACTGTATTCAGAGAGGTCAATACTGAGACTGGAGCCTACAAGTTGGGAATCCACACGGGACCACTTCGAGAGGGTGTTGTCTACTCTGGCGGATCCTGTGATTCCTTCCAAAAAATGATGAAGTGCCGTGGAAAGGAAGTGCTCTACGTCGGAGACCACATCTTCGGAGACGTGCTTCGTTCCAAAAAATCCAGAGGATGGAGAACCTTCCTCGTGGTCCCTGAACTGGTCAACGAGTTGACCGTATGGACCGACTCCAAGCCGTTGTTTGACGAGATGGGTCGTATGGAGAGCACACTGGCTGATATCTACAAGAACTTGGATGGCGCGTCCCGTCACAAGCCGGTTGTCAAGGATATCGTTGATCAGATTAGAGTGAGTGCATGGTTTCCGGGAGAGAACGGAAACTGGAGACAAATCTGATAATGCGATTTTTTTCAGAAGCTCACAAACCAAATGGATGAGGAGTATGGATGCTTGGGAAGTCTTTTCAGAACCGGGGGAAGAACCACTTTCTTCGCAGCTCAAGTCGAGAGGTGATCTATGATGTTATTTCTAAAATAATCCCTACATTCGAATTAATGATATCAGTGATATCAGTTTCCGGTTCATTGAATTCGCTTAGAAACATACATGAATATAATTATTCGAAAATGGCAAATTTCTATTTTCAGATACGCTGACGTCTACGCATCCTCCTGTTACAATCTGGTCCACTACCCATCGTTCTACTATTTCCGCGCTCCAATGAAGTGCATGCCTCACGAGTTGACTGTGGACCATGCCTCCACCCTGAGATCCAGATCCAACACCCTGGAACGTCAACAAAGTGTGGGACAACAGGTTCGCGGATGGAACAAGAAGACGTTGAACGACCAGGAGACGTTCTGTCATGAAGAAGAAGAGGATGAGGATCAAACAAATAGCAGCAGCAGTGATGGAGAGGTGAGAGGAGGATTTTGCAGAAACTAATTTGGAATGCAATGTTGTTTCAGGCGCCGAAGCGTGAACGCACCAAGTCGGGCAGCGACGAATCGTCGAACGCTGGCGATGTTCATGTGGAGCCACACCAAGATGTTGTCACTCCAGCTCCTGCATTTGTCGAGCACACCGCTTAAACTCATTGGACCTATTAGTTAGCTTATATAGGCGCCCACTTGTTTTCCCACTGCTTTTTTTTTCTTCCAACGCTATTTTTTCATGTCTAATTTCGAATTGACTCCTGCGCTTTAACTCACATAATGTACCCTTCTTCCTTCCTCCATGAATTCTATTCAACACAATTCTATACACTCTTTTTCTTCTTCCTCACCCGACCACGAGCCTTATTTTTGAACTTGTTCTCTTTTGAAGACCAACTCCCCACCGAACGTGTGTAACATCATTAAACTTCATTCACTGAAAAAAAAAATGCTTTTCATTCCTTTTTCCCTTTTTGTTGAGCAAATAAAACCCCCATAGTTTTGTATTGTAATTCAAATTCTATATTATAGTTCAGCTTTTGAATAAATAAATTTCCTTCAATGCCGATGTTATAATCCCACCTGTCCCATGAAGGAACGTGCCTATGCAGGTCATAAGAGAAAATGGAAAAAATAATAAAGAGAAAGTGATTAATTTGTAGGCCCAACAAAATCGGATTTCGAGGTAATCCAATTTTTTGCTATTTACTCTTTTTTGAAGAAGTCAGCTTCTCTATTTTTCTTCATCATCTCTTGCTATATCCCCTCCAACTTTTGCTTCTTAGTGAGAAAAGAAAGAATAATAATATTCCATGATGAAGGAAAAACGAATGACAAACCCAAAAAAAGAGGAAAGGAGGAAAAACAGAAGACTGGGATGAAGCAAAAGAAGAAGAGACGTCGACAAAAAGTCATGGATTTCCTGTAACCCTTTGTTACTTAGTTTCGTCCCCCCTGACCCACTTTTCTTCTCTAGACAGCTCTGGACCCTTTGTACCTGAATAATTTATAAATTTTCGGTTTCATTATTGGAAAAACTAGAAAATGGTGCTAACATCAATTCGTCTTGTTCATTTTGGTAATTTTTTGGCCTTTAAGCTTCTGAAAATGATAATTTTTCTAGAAAGCTGTGTTCCTTGAAACTTTTTGTTCCTGAAAAATAATTGCGTTTTTACAACTTCTCAAATTTTCCATAGATACTTTTGGAGATTTTTTGCATTTGAAATCCATCATTACCAGAGGACCTGTAATACAGGGGCCCTCACACTATCAAGTTTGAATTCGTTTATCTCGGCTCCTATAGGAGAAATCAAAAATGTATCAACTGATAAAATTTTGGTGATCTTATGATGAACGGTTTATTAGCTGACAACTACTTTTCATCTTTGATAGGAACCGAAATAAATTGTAAGAAAATAACTGTCTTGGAAATCTGTTCATATACCGTAAACACTCTAATAGAACGCCACCCGTAAAATTTGAGCACATGTATCTCATTTTTTGTGAAAGATATCAAATTTGAGGACCAAATTTCTATTGTAGATCTAAATAGATCGGTAGCTTCTTACATGACATCAAATGGTTGTTCTGAGCAACACTATAAAAAATTATACGCAATGTTTTGATGTCGGTTGTTGTCTTGTGACCATAAATCCCGCAGAGGATTTGGCAATATCATTTTTAGTGATGTCTGTGAGTGAATTTTCCTTTTCTCCACTTTTTCCATATACAAGAAGCCTTGATAAAACCACATAAGAAGATTTGGAATAAAATCCTCCTTGCCATTTCAAAAATCCTATTGCTCTTTTGCAATTTCCTCTTCTTTTTCTTCCCACAGAAAGGAGATTTATAGAATAATTCTTTTTTAATAATTCCTATGAAAGGCAGATATAGATATAAATTCCGTCTTCCTCCGAAGATTATTTAATGGGTATAATATCTTATTCTCTTTCAATTTCGTGTCCGAGCCCCTATCCCATCTTTCATCGTCTCATTTTCTTATTTTCTCAGTTTATCGCGGCCCAAAAGAATTACGAAAAAATTCTGCAAGATGAATAGCAAAGACAAAAGTTCATACCAACTTTATGACTTTTCAAAGAGTTCTCTCTTACTTTGAAATGCATCAAAAACATTCTTCTCTCCTCAACTGTGCTCCCAGACTCAGAATCGAACAGATTTCGATTCATAGAAATTTTCCTTTCAGAAAAACAAACAAGGCTATCAAGTCCTTTTTTTTCAACTAACCATTTTAAAGTTAATGGTGTCAAACAGGGCTCTCTGTTTGGTGCTGCTCGGCAGAAAATGCTTTTTCGTGCTTCAATGCTCATCAAGTCTCTAATCTGTCCCCATCTCACGAGCTTCAGACCTCTTTCAAAAAAAAAAAGAAAGACGGAAGAAGAGTTCGGTTTTTCTCTCTTTGTTTTTTTTTTGCATTTTGTTAGTTCTGAAGTTCAACGAATCAGGATGCATGAATGCACCTTCTTGCGAATTTTGGATGCTCCCACCTTTTATTTCCTCCTAGTTGTTTTATTGAAATTGGGTCACGTGATTCTGTTGGAAATCACAAGTTTTTATTATCTCCTAGTTTGAACCCTTTCTTGCTCCGGTTCAAAGGAAACAGGGAAAAGAAAAAATTATGGGGTGTTCCAGGGATTGGAAAACCGGATTTGTTCTTCTTTTTTTCCTGTTTTCAAAATGCCGCCTCTTTTGTTTCCTTCTTTTACCAAACCTGGTAGAGCTTGCATACCAAGCCTAGTAGAATTTACACGCACATACCGGTCAATGAAAATCATTAGAAAATTTTTTTTGATTGATTTTGAGCGATTATGACCATTTTAAGGGCTCTGAAGCTCGACTGTCCAGTTTGCGATCAAATGGAAAATTTAGGGGTAAACAGACTTAAATTCAAAACTTTGCATTTATAAACCTATTTTAAAATTACTAGTAATTGAGCTGTTGGCCGATTCCAAAAGAAAGAAGTTTTTTAACAGTTTTGGTACAAAAACAGGCAAAAAACCCTCCAAGTTTTCAAAGTGATCAGAAACTTGGTGTACAAGCTCTAGACACCAGAAAATCGTTGAAATAGCTGAAAATCAACAAAAAATACGTTTTTGTATATTTCATGAATCGGAAATGTGATAAATGTAACGATTCATAATTCAGTTGATGCTCAAATTTACCTATCATACTTGAAAATAAAAAGTAGCACATATTTGAAAGATATCAAAATGTCGATTATCGTTATATTGACTGACTTTGAAGTTTTATTATTGATTTTGTATTTCTTGTCAACAGAAAACCAATTTTATGCGATCTATACTGAAGATTCTTCCAGCTTTGACTTAATTTATCTCAGTTCCTGTGAGAGGTATCAAAATATGTTCAACCATCTAAATATTTTTGATATCATGATGTATGTTCCGTCAGTTGATCATTTCTCAATATCTCTCACACGAACCGATAAAATACTAATTCGAAGTTGTGGTAAGACCGTGCTCACTTCAGAGCAGTAATGAATATGTTTCATTTGAATAAATAACTGATGGAATATTAAATTGAAGATGGGCAGAGGACTCGTAACTATCTTTTGATAATACTGTTAAAAAAATCATGTGAAAGTTGATATATTTCTAACCTATTCCACATGATTAGTCAGAAACCAGGAATACTCTCTTTTCTTCCTCTAATCCCAAAAAATACACCCATCGATCTCTCACCTATTCCCAGATGACTTTTGAAAGGCTTCCTTTTTTTTTACACAACCAATCTCATGAACGACCAAACCACACTTCGTTAACAAAAGAACTCTTAAAACCCAACAGGCTACACATCTCATCAAATAACCAGCAGCTCATATGTCTCTCTCATTATTTGCTATAGTGGTTATCCTATTATTCCCCACCACCTCCAACTTTTTTTTTCTGCAAAAGAATCATTTTCCAGAGTGCACACAAGGCACCTACGCATCGTCTCATCCCATTGTACTCGCTTTTTGCTCTCCGAAAGTTCTTCGTTTTTTTCTTTATAATATATTTTTGCCTTTCAAAAGGTTTCCTTTTCATTCAAACAGTTTTATCCGAAAAATTTGGGCATGATGAAAATGAGAAATGATGAGATGGAGGATGTGTTTGTGTATGTGTGTACATGTTAGAGCCATGTAATATGTAGATTAAAGAGCCTCCCATGGTTCTAATCCGTCAACTACTAACTGCTCGGGCCCGTTTTCCCCCTTTCTCCATGATCCACGGATCCCAGAAAGAAGAAACCTGAGAAATAAAAGAGCGACCGAGGATAAAAAGATATAATTCCGGTGTGAGAGAAAAAAGGAGTGTTTTTCCTCACTTATTTCCCCCCTTCCCATCCAATCCTCATATTCGCCCTCCCTCTATCAGTTAGTATCTTCCCGGAAAAAAGAAAGGCGAGCCGGGGAGAAGTCACAAGTTTCCATTCAAGGCTTCTCCAAAAAAAGTGACGCAGCACTTATATTGTGTCGGGAGCTTTTCAAATACCTCTAAATTCATACTCTGGCACTTCTGGAATCATGTCTTCAAATTTCTTCTCGTCTTCACACGGGCCGTCATCAACAATAGTAGGTTTTGGATGCAAACGGCGTGAGAAAATGAGAAAATACATCCACCGCCCCTGGAAATCCTGAAAATGCACCCCGGATCACACAGGTCTAGACACACCTCCGGGATAAGCCATCCTGTCTCTTTACTTTTTGAGGATGTAGATTCGGAAAACGGATATCCCATTCTCTCTACCTTTTTTGATTGTCTCTCCAACAATGTGACTCTGGGTTAAACGGAAATTGAAAGTTTTTTGAAAAAAATTGGCTGTGCTGCTGACGAGAAAGGTCTTTCGGATTAAATTAACAAGTGGAAACTCTCTAGGGGGAACGCTCTTTTGAATGTTCATTCAGTCTATTCAACCTTGATGACAATATATTTCATGCCTCATTCACTCTTCTCAAGTTTTGATTGAGCTCTACTATAGCTGTATATATTCTATATTGTCAAAAAATAAGAAAAGCAAAACGGACAATTCTATTGGGCCCCAGTTTCCTTGGAAACCTCTCATAAAATCGACAAATCACTATGGAGAACGTACGCGGACCATGAAATAAGAGCCTTCTCCCATCTTCTTCTTTCTATCCTTGAAACTTTCATTCTCTCCATTTCATTCCCCCTGAAAACTAATCCTTTGTATTCCGTGGCCATGTTTGACTGCTTACAGCCGAGAACATCTGAAACCCCCACCGAGATGTGCGAGGAACGGTACCGTCTCGTGGTACTGGGATCCGCCAAAGTGGGCAAGACCAATATTGTTCGACGCTATTTGTACAACGACTTCTCCAACAAGTACAAGGAGACGATTGAGGATTTGCACTCCAGAGAATTCCGCATCCAGGTGAGCCTACAGTACCGGTCAATAAGATTCGCTTGAACACAGAGAACGGAACATCGGCTAGTTAGGGACATATAGTAATCCTAAAACTCTCAAATTTCGACACAGAATGTTCCTAAAATTTTGACATACAACAATTCTAAAAGTCTCAAAAACTATTATACGGTCAATAAGATTCACAAAAACGCATTTTTCAATGGGTTTCGGTCATTTTGACCATTTTCAGAAGTCTGGAGCTCGGACTTCAAGTTTTCGAGGGTGTAAAAAAAGTTGCGGAAAGTCTGATTGTGAAACAAAACTATATTAAAAATTTTGCATTTACAGAACTTTTAAAAAACGCTAGTTTCAGACATCGCTAATTTCTGAGAGAAACCTGTTTATTTACTGAAAACGTGAAAAAACAGGCGTCTCCCAGAAATCGACAATTAGCTGGAAAACTATGAAATTCTTAAAAATTCTGTGAATGCACAGTTTTCAATCTAGGCATACTTGTGAAATTCCGGGCCGGGCCTGAGGAAATTTTCAAGGCCTGGGCCCGGTGTCAAAAATTCTGTATTTTTGAGCCAAATTTTAAGCTCTCAATATAATTTTTTCCATTTTTTTTTCGTATTTCGGATTGTTTGTCTGTCTGATCAAAAAAGATCGAAAATCTCGAAAAAAAATTTTTTGGTCGAAAAAAATCACATAGTGGTCCCCCCTTATGTGTTTTTTGAAAATTTCGAAACTAGTGAAATGACGGGCCCGTCGGGCCGGGCCTCCGAAATTCCGGAAAAAGCCCGGCCCGGCCCGTTACAAGTATGAATCTAGGTCTGTTTTCTACCCTCCCAAGTTTTCAAAGTCATCGGAAACTTGACAGCTGAGCTAAAGACTCCGGAAAATGGTCGAAATGACCAAAAAATGAAAAATAATTTTTTGTGTATCTTATTGACTTGTTTTTCTGTTTTCTTTATTTCCGTTTGAGATTAGTAGTACTGCTTAGGAAGCCTCATGTAATTGAAATCCATACTTTCCCCAAACGACATTCGACTAAAAACTTTGTCAGGGTATCCCATTACCACTGGACATTTTGGATACCAACTTCAACTTTCCTGATATGCGACGTCTTTCGATCGCATCCGCTTCGGCGTTTCTTCTTGTCTTCTCTGTGGATGACGTTACAAGCTTCAAGGAGGTTAGTTACAGTATCCACCGGATTTCCGATCCGCCACCACGGAAATAGACCAAATCAAGCTAATGCGTGAGCAATTTCAGATGTCGGATTTGTGGCAAGAGATTTGCACGCGTCGCTCCGATCTCAACGAGCTGCCAATAGTGGTAGTTGGCAACAAGTGCGACGTGGAGAACAAAAAGGTGAGTGTCGCCCTCCCATACAAGCTCCCCCAACAGCATTCAGATCTTCGAGGACACTGCGAAGGCCTTCACAAGCCGCTTGTCATCCGACGTGCGATACGTTGAGGTGTCGGCAAAGGATAATATCCGGATTACTGAGATATTCCGTACCCTGCTCGAGTTGTCCGGATTCCCACGATGCAAAGTGAGCGAGAGAGCGCTGTATAGAAAATATTGGAGGGTTGTTTAGGCTGGAGGCGGTGGATTGGACGATGTCGCTGAGGATGAAGAGACTAAGAATAGTCCCACTATCAGAAGATCGGCTACTGTTCGAGCCAAATCGAGCTCCAAGAGGGAGAGTCGTAGAACTTATCTAGAGGTAGGAGATATGAGCCCTTTATAGGAAAACAGTTGAATATTTGAAAACGTTCAATGTGAATATAATGTATGAGTCAAGAAAATTTAACCACTTTCAGATTATGGGGCTCGGCGGCCAAGTTTGCGATCACTTTGAAAATTTTGGACAGTGCGAAACACACCTAGATTGAAAATGTCTAGTTTTTCAGATATTTAGGGAATTCTAAAAGACACACTCGTTTTGTACTGAAAACGTGAAAAACAGGTGTCTTACAGAATTCCCCAAATAGCTGAGAAACTAGTAATTTTCAAAAACCCCTGTGAGTGCAAAGTTTTCAATCTAGGCCTGTTTTGCATCCTCTAGAGTTTTCAAAGAGATCGGAAATTTGACAAATGAGCTCCAGACTCCTGAAAATGGCCATAATGACCGAAGATTAACTGAAAACACGTTTTTTTGTATATTTTATTGACCGGTACTATTTTGAAGGAACACATGGCAAAATTGTTTCCATTGTTAGGACTTCCTTGTGTTTATGATTTTTTTTCACTAAATCAAAATTTCGTAACATTCAAGAAGCCTAAATATGATATCACCTGTCTAATCCCTTTCTATTCACCAAGTGTTTCACTAACACCACCTTTTCACCTCTACTCTATCTTTCTATTCAAAATCAATGCCTCTTTCAGGACGAAAATAAAGCCGGCTCAACGAACGGCGGTGCTCAGTCGTCGCCATGCGAGCAGCCACAGCTCGACAAGCAGGTATCTCACCCCGTGCTCGCCGTGCCGCTTCATCTTGGCGATCTGAAGCGAAACCTTTCATTGAGAGTATGTAAAAATCCCTGACAGCATGCGCAGAAAGTACAAAGCCCGAAAACTGCCTTGGTTCTCACGTATATGACGTTTTTGGTTTTTTAGATGAAATCACCACGTCGTGACAAAGAACAAGTCGAGCGGAAGTTGTCGGATGAGCAGCCAAAACAACTCTCGCGCAGCTCAAGTCTCATTAGGTGGGGTTTAGGGGGAATTCGAAAGTTCAAACTGGATTTTTAAGACGTACCAAACATCTCTCGCTCAAAATGCGTCGTCATGGAGAGAAGAGCAACAAGGAGGAGGTCGTCGACGAGAGTGATTGCAAGATTCAATGAATCACTCGCTTATAACTTCTCTATATTCTATCAATCTCTCACCTTCTCGTTAGAAACTATAATAATCTTGGGATCTCTTTGGACAACCATTTTATTTCTTCTCATATTTTTGGCAAAACAAATTATACAATCGCATGTGATGAATATGTGAATCTAAATTTCAGAATTATTGAATTTTTTTGGGAAAATTTTTTTTTGGAAATAAATATTATATTGGGGAGTTTGGGAGTTTTAAGATGCAAAAAAAAGATAAACGGTTATGAAGGACAGAGGGACTTTTAAAAATGTGTGAGAAATAGTTTCAGGAAAACATGAGAAGCTTAGAAATCAAGAATGAGATTATTATAAACAGATTAGTAGGGTGTAAAGGGACATAATGAAAATTTAATGTGTTTGAAACGTTTTAAAATAGAGTTGCAATGTTCAGGTTGGGTTCTATGGCTTGTAGAAACAGCACATTTGAAGACATAAGAGACGAAACTTAGTTTCACGACCTACAGGACACAATTAATACAAACGAAAAGGTTTAAAGGGACATGTTGAAAGTCAAAACTTTTCAGAAAGAATTAATTGATAAGAATAGCCCATTTAAGGACGTGAAAAAAAAAGCGAAATTTAGTATTTAAAAAATTGGGTCAGAGACAACAAAGGGAAAAACAGTAGAAGGTTACCATAGCACTCTAATCGAAAGTCACCCTACACTTGTTATTTGAGCGGAAATATCTGAACTTCTATAGGAAGTATAAAACATCTGTCAACTGACAAAATTTTCGTCATGATATGGCAAATATTTTATCAGTTGACAAAATTTCAATACCTTACAAAATAACCGAGATACATGGATTTGAAGTTATTTCCGCTCAATTTGGATGACATTCTGATAGTTTTATACGGTATAAAGGGTAATCGGACTTCAAAGAATCAAAAAATAAGATACAAGTATTACAACAAATCCGGTTAATAGAAAAATCAGAATCTTTGGGATTTTTGTATCTTGGTTTGTTTTCTATGTTTTCTACTTCCCGGTTCATTATAATACAAATATAATGATGTCAAAATATACAAAAGGAAAAAAAATCAGAAGTTATTCTTATGCTTCGTTGCGTTTTGCCTTAACAGCGTTGATAATGATACATGAGAAGATCATAGCAAGAGCCTCAACAAACAAGACAATGATTCCGACGAAGGCGACATAGATGAGGTTGGTTTGAAACGCATTCCAGAAGAGTGTGGCGCATCCTTGCTGTAAATTAGGTTTGTTTACGAGTCAGTGTTTGTTTTTTTCCTTCGGGTTTTCGTCCTCCTAGCTTTTTCAAACATTCACCTGTGAAAGTGTGGCACATTGGCACGAGGTTGGGAAAGCGCCGTAGACCATGTAGTCGCTACAACCCGAGGCTCCACAGCATTGCAGCTGAAATAATAATATTTATTATTCTATCCTGGGAGGTTAATTAATATTCTAGGGAATTTTTGTTTCTCAGAATCAACAAAACTCACACTTGACTGAAGTTGGTCCAAAGCTTGATGGATTTGTTGGTTGTTGTTGTACTTGGAAACGAGCTCGTCTCGCCAGATGGTTGTGAGGCCTTGTTGAAGCTAGAAATGAAACAAAATAATAGTTTTGGGTTACTGTAGACAATCTACAAATTTTTACTTCAGTTTTCTTGACAAAGTAGAGAACGATGGCGACGACTTCGATAACGAAAAGGATGAGAACCAGGATGAAGTAGATGGAAATGGCGCAAACGCTCTCACAGCAACTTCCACAACAACCGAAGAATCCGAGAATCAGAAGAGCTCCTCCGATGACGAGAGCCACGTAGAGGAAAGTATTGATCTAAGAGGAATGAGAACAATTTGGATTTCAGAACTCAAATTGTACCTGTTGAATGTTGACCTGGTTCAGGACTTGTGACAAGTCAACTTTCACCGTACTCGCTACCGTAGTTAGTGAGTTTTTATCAACGAGCATCCAAATGGAGAGACCAACGATGACAGCTCCGAGGACCTGGTTTAGTATTGATTAACTGGTTATGAATCTGATAACTTACGAAAAAGAGAAGGTTGATGAGCCAGAAGAAGTACTTGATACATTTGTTCCCGCAGCCTTTCACCATCTTGGCAGATGGAACTGGAGTCTGAAAAAAAGGTTGAATGGAAGAAAGAGGAAAAAAACCGGATGATATAAAAAATGAGATGAACAACGGGGAAGATGTGGGTGTGAATGGGAAAAAGAGGGGCAAGAGGAGGCATTCTCAAAAGAAAAAAGAAGAAGAAAAAGAAGTGAAAAGGAGCGGCGGCGACAAAACGAAGACAAGAAAACAACAGGAGCAGGGGAAAACCGAAAAACGCGATATTGAGCAAGTAGGGACTAGATTGCCTGAGAAATGCTAATTGGCCATCTTACTGCTCAAGTATGTGCCCTCCCTTTCCTCTGCTCTTCTTCTCTTTTCCTCGTCTTCACGCCATTGCCGTCACAAATTCGTGGGAACTTCTTGACACAACCAAACACAAATGCCGGGAATGCATTCAAGGCTCCTGACACCTCTAGAAGACGCTCCGCCGCCGCCGGCACGCACTCATTTATTGAGTTTTCCGACCTACTGATTTGCTTAAGAGAGAAAAAAGCTCATGACCATTCTCTCCATTCAAAACATCTGCTGTTGTTGGGTGGCTTGAGGAGGTGAAAGAATAAGAAAAATTTCTGACATGAGAGGAAAAAAGTTATGAAAACTCACGAGCTGGTGATAATATGATTTGTTAATGCTTGACTACCGTGAGAGAGCTACTGACTAGAAAGTTATGAAATCTATGTGCTTTTGGTCAAAATACGAAATCAGTGGTTGAAAGCGTGTGATCTGGAATTATAGAGTCTGGAGGGGCGGAGCCAATTCAGAGAAGACGGAGAAAAAATGAAAAACACGAATAGAATTAATTTTCGGTACAAACACAGTCAAAGGATTAGTTTTGTAGTACCAGGTACGATAGAAACCAGATAATTTCTTGGAGCACTATAAAAATTTCAGACGGATTATAGAATGGACTTTTTGTAGGATTGACTCATTGGGGACAATGAGCTGAACAGAACCTATTGAGCTGTATTAGTATGAAACATTTAGAGAATATGGTGATAGAATTAATTTACATGAAAATTTGTAAGATTTGACGTCAATGAAACTAGCCTTAGTTTCTTTCATAGGAGCCCTCCCAATCCGTCAGTTTTAAGCTCGATTATATCGATTTGTGTGAAAGCTACCAAAAATTTGTCAACTAAGAAAATATTGGTAATATTATGAACAACAGTTTAGTGATTGACAAATTTTTGATATTATTTACAGGAATCGAGATAACTGAGCTCAAAGTTGATTTGTTTGGGTGGGCTCCTATTAGAGAAAATAAGGTATTCTGAGAATCTAATATGTGGAATTGTAGAAAAAATTCAGTACAAATACAAAAGGAAACAATTTTTTGGTAAATCTTTTGGTTTTGACAAAACTACAAAATACGGAGGACTTGGAAAGTAAAGAAAATAGGTCTAGAGACAGTTTGGAGCTGAAAAGCGTGCAAGGAATCGGTACGACCACCTTAGTGGTACTTCCCATGTTTCACCTAGGATTCAAACTCCTTAAGAAGCTTCTCAAATCGAAATTTAAGAATATCAACTGTCTAAACAAAGAGCATTCAAGCCACGGCTTGGTACCAAGAAGAGCAATCAAAGTGCGCATAGAAATAGCAACTCCCCCTGCTAGGAAAAGCATTATCAGTAGTCGCTTCCCAGGTCTCCCATAACAACAATCCACACACTAAACAAGCTCTAGGAAAACGGGGAGCACAACCAGCAGGCATTGCGTACGACTACTGATACGTCCACCTCTCGTCTATGCATAGATTTCGAAATGAGACGAGATTCCCGTCATCAAAAGTCGAGGAGACAACGGGGCAGGCAGGTGGGTGTGGCTGTTGGGTGTTGTCCGCTGGTTACCTAGGCACCAGCTCAAAATCCCACAATATGTCCCCATCTGAAGGTATGAATTATGAGATAGAGGAAACGGAGTGAAAGCTAAACGTAATGCAACGGTGAACACCTCATCACAAAGTGTGAAAATATACACTTAAGCTTGTTTTTTAGGAATGTGTGTTGAAAGAGTTTTGATAAGAACCACAGTCAAAATTCCACCATTTTTGTGTTTTACTAGTATTTATTTAACAAAAAACAAACCTACCAAAAAGGATACAGTGACAGATGTTATCAACAACAAAAAAGGAATGCTCAAAGTCAAAATAGGAAACGGAAAATATACACACTTAAAGGAAGGAATCTTGATGAGAAATACCTGCAAAGGACACAATGAAAGTAAAGAAAAACAACTTTTCTGAAGAGAAAAAAAAAGAGAAAGGGTCCAAAACGTTCTTTGGAGGAAAAGTTGGTTGAAAAAAGCTTTTAAAGGGTTATGGAACTCAAGAGACACAATAGCCAAAATTTTAAATTTTAAAAATCTGAACCTTTGGCTCTCGTCTGTTATTTGGGCCCTTCAAGAAAATTTTAGTCACTAACAATAATTTTAGTCTTTGATAGTAATTTTCATAGTTGCAAGCGAGTCGGCCCGGTCAGGTGGCGGGCCGGCTGATAACTTGTCTCAAAAAAAAGATATTCAGACGGTTTTGGTTCCAAATAATAGATCTCGACAGGGCCCATTGCACCTATATCATTATAGCCTAATTCCGGTCCGATATTATGTCGAAAAATGTGTTTGAATGACAAAAAATTTGCTTTTTGTCAAGTTAGTCGAAAATTGTCATTGTCATTCGAGCCCAGGGTGCGGCATGTTACCGGAATGGAATCAGGACTGAATGATATAGGCGTGATGCACCCTGTCGAGATCTATCATTTGGTACCAAAACCGTCTGAATATCTCGTTCTAGGGAAAAGTTATGAGCCGGCCCACCATCTGCCCGGGCCGGCCCACTTGCAACTACGGTAGTTTTGGTCTTTAACTATATTTTTCATACATGTGGATGGCCGGGCCGGGGCGGGCCGGGCCGGCCCGCTTGCCTCAAAACTTTCGGCCCGGCTCGGCCCGCTCGGCCCGCCTAGGACAACTTTTCGAAAATTTTATTTTTCGAATGTGCCAAAATATTTATAATGGCACAAATATTAATCCAAATGCATACAATCATCCGAAAAAATCAATTTAAATGAATTTTTAGCAAAAAAAAATCAAACTTCATTAAGCCAAGGATGAAACTTTTTTTCTAATTACGACTTCAAAACAGTTTTTGTCGACAGTATCGGCCTCTAGTGTGGATTTTCATTCACTAAGAAGAAAAATCATCTTGAAAAATGATGATTCGCTCTAAAATTTCAAAATTTTCAAAAAGCGGGCCGGCCATGTGTAATTTTTTCCGGCCCGGCCCGGCCCGCGGGACGGCCATCTTTTTCACAAGTATGATATTTTTCGGTAAGTATCCGTATTATTTTTTCTACTTTCCTTCTTCATTCATTTTTCCTCTTTTTTTTTTCAATACATGCCATTTATCAACCTTAAATTTGAAGGTCAGGATTTTCTATAAAAAGGAAAATAAGCGATGAGAGCCGAATTTTAAGATTCTTATAACATTTTATTATATGAATAATATATTAGTAGTTTAAAAAAAGTAGAAGCTATTTTAGGGAACATCATCAAATACTTAATTTTTTGAAAGGGCATAAAAAGTAGTTCTAAAATAATTATTCAGAGAATGAGAACGAATATTTCCATCATGTCTCAAAAAATATAGAGAATTTGACTCGACACTATTCTTAAATAACAAAATTCGGTCTTACGTTGAGAATTACGAAATTAAAATAGTGATTTCATTCTGACTTACTTCACCTAGAAACTGACAAAATACGTTTTTCCATACTACAAACCTTCTCGATTTTGAGTGATTACTCCCCACCTGACAACCAAATAGGAAATTGAATTCCAAAGTTTTTGGAAAAGAGTTTTGAAATCTCCGAAAACTATGATATGTGTTTTCCCATGAATCCAATTTCCGGAAAATCTAACGCTTTGATCTAACAGAACAAAATACGATTCTTAGAGTTGTGAAGAGCGATGTGAGTCAGGATGAGAAAGTGCTTCACTATGAAAAACAACTGGGGGAGTGAGGGAAGATGTGATCATTGAGAGTTGGAGGGAAACTCTGAAATTATGTAAATGTTAATAGTTTTTGAATATTGGATAAAATGGAAAGATAATGAGATACATATAAAAATTTATGGTAAATAACCAGGAAGATGTTTTTTTTTGTATTTTTTTTGCAGTGACCTATTGGAATCGTTTCTATGGACTTGTTTTCCAAGAATTTGATTCCATATCTGTTAGATTCTGAAAAGTCTGAATCATAAGTTTTTCAGTATTAAAGATTTGAACAATACGAACAAAAAGCGTTGATTAAAGCATGTCAAAAGGTAATTGGGAAATTTCTAATTTCCTTTTTGCTTGAATTTTGGGAATCCGCATGTTTGGATTTTTTCAATATTCTCTCAGCCTGGCCCAAATTTCCAGTAATGTTCTTCCCTACTAAAAATTGAAAAAATATTCTCCGGAATAGCTGACTTTTTGAAATTTTGAAAAATTTTATTGAAATTCACCTCAAAAAGTTTCTGGTATAATCCGCCCTTACCAAAATATCAAAACTTAGAAATTTTTCAAAGTTTGATGAAAAAATGGAATTTTTTCTAAAATAAAAAAAAAAGATTTTTGAAATTTCAGAATCTGACCCGGGTAGACAGGGCCGGAGAGTTTTCCCTTCTGACCTGGCCCAGGCCCGTCCGTGGCATGTATGGTTTCCCCTGACTCTTCAAAAATTTAAAAGCTTACAAATAACGGACTAGCAAATAATTTTTGAAAAATATATAAAAATTTAGAAGCTTTTCAAATTTGTAAAACCCAGCGCCTGATTTTCAAAGTATGGAAAAAAATCCATGATTAATCAGAAAGACCCAAAATTACCAATAAACAACAATCCAACCAAATGTTGTTGTTAACAATTCAAACAATTACAGTAACCTTTTCAATTCTTTCTTTTTCTAAGTTTCACTGTAAATAAGTATTCATGTGAGAATTCAATTTTGAAAACGCTACAAATTTTTCCGAATCTCACATCTTCTCGCGAACACTCTTGCTGTGTGTGGCATCTTAAAACATTACATTAGCAAATTTCGATTTTCAAAGTTTAAACTTTACAACTTAAGTTGTGATGTAAACCGCTGTAAACCATTCAAAATGTACAATATCACACATCGTCTCGTTGTTAGAGCTTTTTAAACAGTTTATACAGTAAATTCCATCGTAATTCTAAAAATTTTACACCTCCAACCGTTTTTTGCATCATTTCGAATTCCATCTACCCTCTCTCTCTCTAGCCAATCATATTTCCTATATATTTCCCTCTCATTATCTATTCCAACCCATCAAAGGAAAATTGAGGAAAACGGGTGCCTCCTGTGACGATATGTCCTTCTAAGGTCTAAAGGAACAGTTCTTGTGATGGTTATCATAGGAATCCATTCGGGACGACTGCTAAATGACCTACTATAAAGGGTAGTGTTCCTTTTCCCTCCTCGTGTACTTTTTCACTTCTTTTGTCGTTTGACCCTTATCGTTTGTCATGCTATCTATTCTAGGCTGTTGCTTATCATCGAAACTTTTTTTGTACTTTTTTAAAAAGTAAATAGTCACAGTTCTTTTCAAATTAGTATACTACATTTGTAAAAGTAGCATTTCACGCCTCAAAGCTCTTTCTTTATATGGAGAGGATGTGCGCGTTTAAAGGAACATAAACCGGAAATGAGCCGCGCACCACGCCCCAGTCAATCGTCTTCTTCTTTTCTCTCTTCTCCATTTTTTTGTGCCCACTGCATGTCTCTTTTTTTTTGGCATGGCCACACTCTATTGATTTCTCTTGTCGTCTTCGTGAATATGGAAAATAAGGAACGATTACTTGTTGTGTGCATACGCCCATTTTTTTTACTTTTCCTCATTTTTTTCAAAACCATATTTTTGCTTGAAATTTTCGTTTTTTGTAGTTTTCGCGCCTAAATCCAAATTTTATAGGCGTTATCAAAATGAAGATACTAATAAAACCTTTATCACCTTCATTTTTCATCATGACCAACGGACCTTAGACACCGAAACAGCCCTCATAAATTAGTTGACGTGTCGTATCTCTATGTATGCGTTGGGTTCTTCTATTTCTCTCCCTTTTTCACGTGTACACATAACCAATAACCCTTTTCGCATCTATTACTAGTTTTTCAACATCATTTTCTTATTTTCGTTTTATTTTCAGAGTATTATGACCGAACCGGTAATATCCTGTATGAAAAGTGAGTTGTTTTTTTTTAATGTACAGTACTAGTCAATAAGATATTTGAAAAAAAAATCATTATGCAGTCGCATTTTGGCCACTTTGGCTGTTTTTGAAAGTCTACAGCTCGAGTTTCAAGTTTCCGATCATTTCGAAAAGATTGGCGTGTTAAACAGCTCTAAATTGAAGAAAAAGTTTGAAATTCCTGAGAAAATTCCTAGTTTTTCAGCTAACTGCTGATTTCTGACAAATGCGGGTTTTTCTTACGTTGCAGCTCATAAGCTGGCTAAAATCGGTGTTTTTTAAAAATCGACAATTAACTGAAAATAAGGAATTCTCGGAAAATTCTGTGAATGCAAAGTTATTGGGCTAAGTATGTTTTACACCCTCCGGAATTCACAAAGTTATCAAAACATTGACTGCCGAGCTCCAGACTCTTTGAATGGCCAAACAGCAACTGAAAATACATTTTTCTATACTTCATTGACTTTCTATACTTTATTGACCTTTTCGTATTTTATGCCTTTTGCAGATTTCGTTGTATCCGAGATAGCGAAAATTACAGCGGAGCATGAGCAAGTGGGTTTTTTCCTGGAAAATTAGGCTATATCCAAATTCAGATGATTTCTGGATGGAAACACGTCAATTTGACAGAGGAAAACATCAGACATCTATATGATCTCTTGAAAAATTGTAGCAAACAGGAGATCCAACTTTTTGAACAGAACAATTTCCTGAAGGGCGCAAAGAATTACGAGTTGATCACTAGAAAATTGATACCGGAGGAGAAAACAAAGTACGTTTATTTGAGCAATGGGAAATCCGGGAAATGAGTATAGTGTTTCAGAGATGTAACGAAGAATGCCAAAAAAGGGTCGAAGAAAAAGTCGGGGAAGAAGAAAGGGAAATCTGCGAACCAAAGGTAGCAAAGTTACAGTACTGGTGAATAAGATGAACAGAAAATTTTGGAGAGTCTGAAACGGACCTAGATTGAAAGATTGCATCCAAAATTTTTTTTGAAATCACTAACCTTTTAGTTACTTGCAGATTTCTGTGAGACATTTTCTGGCTAGATTATCGTACTGAAAATGTGAAAAAACAGATGTCTTTTAGAAATCGGCAAAAAGCAAAAAACTATGAATAACAAAAATTCTTGGAATGCAAATTATTCAATCTAGATATGTTTTACACCCGCCATAGTTTTTAAAGTGTTGGAAACAACACAGCCGAGCTCCAGTTTCTTGAAAATGATCAAAACTGCTGGAAATCAACTGAAAAATACGCGTTTAAGTATCTTATTGACCGGTACTGTGTGTCTGAAACTTTTAAATAAAAAATAAATTTTCAGCGATAATAACAACGTTAGTAGAAACCCTCCCAAGGAGCTAACAGAGACTGAAATACAAAAAATTGACAAAAAGAGGTACTGGCAAATATTATAGTTAAACATTGCAGACCTTTTTTTCAGTGAGACAACATCTCCGAAATCACAATTTGCCAGTTCACACCAAGATATTGAAATTCCCATTAGTTCGAGCTCAAAGTCAGATCTGTCTCAGAATGATAGTGTTCAAAATAAAGAAGAAAGTTTGGATTCAAAACCTACAGCGCCTGACACCGAAGAACCTGATGTGGTTACTGTGAAACCAGCTAATAAACCGACAAAACCAGAATCAGAAATCATGGCTACCGTAACCAAGACTGCAGAAGCACAAGCTATTACTCAAGAAGCGACAACTGCGACCAAGTCATCTGAGCCACAATCAGAAGGCTCGGCCACAGTAACCCAGACCGCAGACTCTGGTGAGCAATCTAAGAATCCCGACAATGCAGTCTTTAAAACTCCGCATTTACCCAAACGGCTATTAACCTCGGAAAAGTTTGATGAGGATGAGAAAATGGACCAGATTGCAAAAGCCGTTGATCAGGCATTTGAAGGTGGTGACGTAGCGACAATAGCTGAAAAAGGTAGTTCTCAGAAAGTAGATCGAAATTTTTAACTTCAAAATTTAGCTCCACCTTCTCCAACACCTTCTCCCACTGAAACTTCAGACGAGCCGAAAAAGAAGGCCAAGTGAGTTGTTGTCGCCGCTGAAAAACACAACACGCATCACCCTGGTTTTCCATTTTCAGAAATCCATTCGATAATGAGCACTTGTTTATTGAGCCACTCTGCACTGCTAACACGTATTGACTTTATCCTCCATAAACAAGGATTTGGTTGTTTTTCAGGAAAAATCTTGAGACTACGACTGCTACTGATATTATGCCGCTGGGAAATCACTATATGAGTCCAGAGTCAAATGCATTAAAATCAAATTTGCAAAAACTGGCGACGGATATCTCGACGGAAGAGCAACAGATTAGAGCTCGGTTGGAATCGGGGGAGCCTGCAGATACGGATGATGCTGCTCTAGAAGATTTTATCGCTAGGGCAAATACCGTTTTGAAAGAGACAGAAGCGGTGACAGTTCGAAAAATTGCAGAAGCAGAAACTCGCAAATTCTTGTCAGCGTTACGGGTACCGATTGGAGACTCTTTCGAAACAATCTCAAAGGATCTCGTGCAAGATATTTGGCCAAAAACCAACAAGTGGAGAAGTTTTGCCAGGTTTTTATCTAGGAAAAACTAAGATTTTATTTATGGTTTTCAGAAAAAATAGTGGATGTCCACCACTAGATGAAATCAATCTGAAAGAAAAGAGAAAAAAGGAAGAACAAGTGGAACGAGACGTTCGAAGCGCAATCAAAGCAGCCGGTGAGCCATTGAACAAAAAACAAATTGGCCAGATACGAAAAGCCGCTATCACGTACAGAGATTTTGATCTCAAGGAGCAGCGTAAGATCTCACAAGTCATATTGGACCATGATTTCAAAAGTTTTAAGAAGAGCTGGACTTTAGAAGTAACCATATTTCAAAGCTGGTGGAGTTGGTTTCAGCATATGAGGATTCGAACAAGATGGATGAATTGATTTGCATGCGATTGGCAATCGCGTTTTGTACCAAGCGGAGGGATTACTTTTTGAAAGTAGGTATTCTGCTCAAAATCATTTTGAACTTTTTCTAAAATCTCTTTGACTCAAAACTACTTTGAAAAAACCATTCTTTGGAGATTTTGCTTACAGTAAACCACAAAATTTATTGTAATACTTGTGAGAGGAAGAACCTTAAATTTTGATTTCAAGCCAATTTTTCTCGGTTTCTGTGAAATAAATCAAAAATGTGTCAACTGATAGAAGGTTTGTGATGTTATGATGAACGATTTGTCAGTCGGAAGATTTTTGACACCTTCGACAGGTACTGAGACATATTGGCTCAAAGTTAAAAGTTAAGTACTCTTCCACGGTTCTACGGTAATTCAAAAATCTAATTTTCAGATAAAACCTCCGAATTTCATGCAATTCTCGTACATGTACATCTTTTTGCTGGAAAAAATTAATCTGAAAACCGCGTCGATTTGTGCGTGTCTAAACTACCAAAGTACTGTGAGCAGCGATTTCGACGAGTTGGAGGAGCTGATGTTGAACTTGTTCCATGAAGACTATTTTCTTAATATGATCTAATAGTTTTTTTTCGTGTGTTTTTTTTCATGTCAATTATTGGTTGACAGAGCATTCATGAATATTTCGTCCTTATTTCTGGCTTAAAAACGATAATTTTCTGATGGATTTTGGAGTTATACAGATGAATCGAACGTTCAGGAAGAGAACCACAATTTCGTTTTTTATCTTCAAAGACAATTTTCAGACTTTTCACTACAATTTTCATGAATCACCTGGAGAAAAATTATGAAAAAATAAAACTAGTCATTTTTAGAGGTCATTTCAGATTATGATCTCCTAAATCGCACCAACGGACTGCAAATCAAATAACACAGCATTCCTCTCAATTCCCGCGCGAATTTTTCTAGGTTTTTTTTTCAATTTATAATCGTTTTCCACTATTTCCATCTTTTATAAATTGTCCTTCTAAAAGTTCGAACCCGATCCGATCCAGTTTTCGTATTACGTTATCCCCAATTCTTCTCTTTTCCATCGCTTTTCTCTGCCGTCTCTTCAGCACAACACCTCTCTCCTATCCTGCGTCTGAAGGGCGCAAAAACGGTGACTGACCCCCTTCATTCTGCTGTTGGCGCATTTGGTGTGGCAGAAACTATTGGTTTTGCTTTTCGCACATTTTTTGTATTCTACGTGGCTTTTTTATCAATTCTCCCGATTTTTTTGCTGGAAATATTTCTCCATCTGTTTCACTTTAGTTTTGCCATTGATTTTCAGTACAATGGACCTCGACGCGGCTGCTATTGCTCAAGCCCACGAGGAGCTCACGGAAATGCTTCAAATTCTGTCAAGTGAGTCGAAGTAACGGTGAAGATCAAAGCTCCGAGAAGCAGCTAGCTTCCTTACTAGTCGCCCCTAATTTTTTATAATTTTCAGGAAGAACTGGAGCTTTACGACGCGACGATCTCACTCGACGCATCGAGCAAGTTAGTCGAGAGTTCACTCGAATTCGTGCTAACGGAATGAGACAATCGTTCGAGCAGCAACTCGCCAGACAAGCGGCGGAACGTCGTATGCGTCGGCGGTAAAAAATTTAAGAACTAGAATCTAGAAGACCAAGTTTTCTTTTTAGAAACGACTCGGATTCTTCCTCCAGCTCGGACAGCAGCGACATCGATTTGGACTTCATCTATCCCTTGGACCTGTGTGAGACTCCGTCGGCATCAACATCGTCGTCGACACAGACTCACAACACTCAGGCGAATCTCAACACATCGTCAAGCAGCATGGAGGTGGAAGAAGCGGAATCGACACCGAGCATGGCGCAGCCGAATCAGTAAGTTGTTTGGTGCAGCCGAATCAGGAAAAGAAGCTCTATAGCAATGTACTTGGCAGAAAAATCCTAACTCGAAGATGTGTGGAAGATACTCTCTGTCCATACTTCTCTAACATTATCGATTTTTCATCTGTCAGGAGTTGACAGATGGTTTCCGTGGTCGCTATTTCCGGAAGGTCGACTTATGGGAAAGCTGCTAATGGATAATCTATTCTCAAAAGGAGAAAGGCTTATTATTATCCTTGAAAATGGTTTCATGAACCTGGCCAGAGACGTTGTGGCGGCACAATGAGCCCTTTTGAGCCTTCCAAAAGAAGGAAATGTGCTCAATTGAAACCATGACACCATGGAAACTGCTTAGCTGGAGTAGTTTGAGGTTAAAGTGTACCTGAGCTCAGATATCTCGGTTCTTATGAGAGGTATCACAATTTTGTCAACGGGCAAAATGTTAAGGATAATATGATAAATAATTAATCAGTTTAAACCGTTATGTCTCTTGAAGGAACCGAGATAATTGAGCCCAAATTAGACGTAAAGAGTGGGCTTCTGTCAGAGCAAATGGAAGATTTGAACTGTTTGAAGAGGCGAACCTTAGATCAACAGCAAGCGATGAAACAATGTATCAAAGAGCCATAAATTTTACAGGCACACCAACGCACCATCGTCATCCGAGAACACTCAAGCTACTTCGTCTTCTCCCAATACGGCTTCTTCACCTGAATTCACAGAGTATATCCACTTTCCACTATTCAAGTCTCGAGCAAAAAATCAAAATCCCTAATTTTCAGAACTCAGTCAACTGCTACCAAGAGAAGATTGTCTCACTCATTGGAAGAAGAGCCACCGGCGAAGCGATCCATGGCAACATCAACGGACGACGCTTATTTCCACTTCGCACACATCACCGGCTCCACTTCATCTTCTTCTCGCTAGAGCGCGCACACACTGACATTGACAAATTGGGAAATTTCTCCTCTTTTTTCTCATTTCCTTCTAAATGCAATGCTTTCTTTTTTTTGCCCAACAATTTTTTATTCAGATCCCCTCCCCCTTGGTTTTCAAATGCCTTTTTATGACTAGTATAGTTTTGATCCCTTTTTGATTAAATTATTTTTTTAAATTCCTTTTCGTGTTCTTGTCTTCCCTCATCCCGATAGTAGTGTTTTTTTAAAGCAATGCAAAAATCTTATTTTTCAAAATTATCTATTTTTTAAAATTTCTTCTAACACAATGCTTTAAGGCACACTTTCGTGATACCTTCTAATTGCTAATTCTTTCTTTTCTAACCCAGTGCGCTCCATTTCAGGCAAAACTAATGTCTGGAGATAACCAGGGGGAGAATCAACAAGAGATGGGAGGTGACGATGGAGAACAACCAATGGAGGTAGATGAAGTGCCTTCGATTCCCGAGCAAGAATTCGGGCAAAACATGGAACACATAGAGATGCTTCGCAGGTTGCCAGTTCGACCTGAGCCACCAGTTTTCCCAGGTGGCTTCGTCAACTATAATCCGATTCCACCATTCATGGAGAACGATCCTGTACTGTATGGAGAGATTCGAGGACACCTTAATGCACTGAACGCACGAGAAGGACCCATGCACAACTTTCTGTTTGGTAATTTTTGAGAGTTATCATCAACAGCCTAGAGAAAAAACTTTAGACCCACCACCGCCCAATGAGCTCATTCATCCCGAACATTGGGTACCAATGGAACAAATTCAAATGGATCAAGGCGGCTTTGTTTTCGGACATGCCAGCGACACTGATTCGTCGGGTATCGGAACGGATGAGGAGGCTGAAGCGTCTGATAATGACGATCAGGATGGAGATCTGTTTCGCAACAACAGACTCCGTCGAAGACATTGACTTGTTGAGTGTTTTTCTTTATTCAGTTGTTAAAAAAATAACCTGAAAATCGCAAACTTGAAAAACCGAAGACTCGAAGGACTTGAAAGCTTGCTGGCTTGAAGGCTTGATGGCTTGAAGGCTCGAAGGCACAGAGATCCCAACGCTTGAAAGCTAACAGGCTAACAGTCAAGGTTATCAGGCTAGCTAGCAGGCTAGCAGACTTGTAGAATAGCAGGCTAGCAGGTTAGCAAGTTTGGAAGCTAGCAGGCTTGCAGGTTTGCAGGTTTGAAGGTTTGCAGGATTGCAGGCTAGTAGACTAGCAGGCTAGCATTCTAGCAGGCTAGGCTAACTGGCATCCAAGCTTGACTGCTTTAAGGCTTGAATGCTTGAATGCTTGAATGCTTCAATGCTTGAAGGCTTGCAGGTTTGCAGGCTTGCAGGCATCCAGGCTTGCAGGCATCCAGGATTGCAGGCATCCAGGCTTAAAGCCTTAAAATCATGAAACCTCGAATAGTCGGGATGTTCGGAGACTCAAAGATCTTTATCTTCCGAGATTCTGAAATTCTACGAGTTCGAGAGTCAAATCCTTAGAGGTTATAAACCTCGGAGGCCAAATTATCCGAGATTCCGAGATCCCGAGATTCCGGAATTATGCAATTCCAGTGTTCTGAGCTTCTATGAATCAAATTTTCGAAACAAGCACCACTTTTACAGAGTCATCTCCACGATTCACTCTTCTTGCCTCCATCATCACAATCCAAAAACCACAACCATAACGTTCGGGAATACCGCTGTCTCCTCCTCTCATGCTCATTCGTGTTACTGTAAAAGCTTTTTTCTCCGCTTTCCATGGGTCTTCAATTGTAAAGTGTATTTTTCTCCACATCCCAGTTTGTTCTTTTCATTCCCTGTTTGCCAGTATCCTCAAAATACAAACACCTAATAATACTTTTGTATAAAAAATGTTCATAAAGTTTGTCTCATCTTCATCTTCATTTTACTTTTACCTCGTCGTCACCGATCGATCTCAAAATGACCTTTTACGTATTTTTTTTTCTTTTTTTTCAAAGAAGGCAAAGACCCACTAAGCGGTAGTTAGTTTGACGGATTGTCTTTCGTCGTTTTTTTCTTTCAAAATAGAATTCGAACACCGCGCACATATGCTACTCTACAATTTTTCTTCCAACCATCTGCCAAATTGTCTCTTGTTTTGAAAATAGACTGAACCGAAAAAAAACAATCCTTACGACACCAGCTCGCAAAGGACAGATGACCTTATTTTATTTGGATCTTGATGAGGGTCAATTTTCTTTTGATTCGTCTTATTTTCTTGGTGGTTTTCCTTCCAACCTATATTTTAGCCGTATATAGCGTTAAGACTTAGTTTTCACTTTTACTCACATGCTTATTGTCTCTAGAAATGCGAGTAGGCAGACTATGTGTGTGGATATGTCTACTAATTTGCTCGAGTAAAAAAATGTAATCTAGCCACAAGTAGAGACCTTGAATTACTTTTGGTGTATAATAGAGGACAGAGCGAGTGACTTACTAAGGAACTATCTGGAGTCGTCTCCAAGTTACACTTCATGACCTATATCATTAAAAAGCCCATAAAATTCTGATTCGGAATATGCTTTCTATTTTTGCGAAACGGCGAGGAGCTTCGAGAAAATTAAGTCACAAGAAAATGTAGTGCTAGTTTACCCTGTTGATTCTGCATTGAAAGTCGTCACGTCTATTTTTAATGAAAAATCAACAGGTTTAACTAGCACTAAATTTTCTTGTGACCTCATTTTCTCGAAGCTCCCCGCCGTTTCACAAAAACAGAAAACACATTCCGAATCAAAATTTTATGGGCTTTCTAATGATATAGGTCATAAAGTGTAACTTTGAGATTTTTCTTCAGATAGTTCCCTAGTTAGTTTATAATTATTCGATTTTTCTGAAAGTTTTTTTAAGGGATTACTGTAAGCGTTTCGACGTGACGGTGTACAGCGCATTGCTATCTTGCCGATTTCATATGTCCGATTGTTCAGCCGCATTAACTTGCGCTACCGTAGCTCAGTTTTTAGTCGCGTGGCACCTCCAGCGTTGGGTTCAGAAGTTTAGCTCCTTGTAGGCGTAATGAACAACATTTCGAGAAATTCTTTTTTCACCCCCTCTCCCCTTTAATTGATCATTCAGAACTGAGAAACTCCGAATAGATATTTTCAAAGTACATCTTAACTTTTAGTCACAAAACTGGAATAATCAGGAAAAACTGATTTCTGATCGAATTCGAGAAAAAGAGAAGTTCGTTATACCACATGACCATCTTTTGAATAGCCTCATTATGCAGGTAGTTAACTAAAGAAACGACGACTAGACTCTTTGTCCTCCCGTCCGGATTCTTTCTTTCTCACATCATCGGTTTCATACTGTCTGTTTCCGCCTTTGATGAGAACATCAGACTTTTTCTCTGGAATTTCATATCCGTCTGCTTGACCCAATTCGACCCCACCTAACGTGCCCCTCAGAAAACTTCCGATTTCAGTTTATTTCCTTAAAACCAGCTCACTTGGACCTTCGCCTTCTTTCAAACTTGATTAATTTTCCTTGGTTTGTTTTATATCCAGTTTCTTGTCTCCCGATTTCTCATTACGAAAACGGAGCCGCTCCAGACGCTCGCACACACATGGCACCTCTTCGTACGAAGCGAAACGTCTTTTTTGCCTTCTTCATCTCAAAAACACATTCGGAATAAGCCCGTGTTGCTTTGGAGGAGCTCAAGAAGCTCTTCTCCACACTCACTTGCAAGTAGAAGCGCACGTCTCCCCATCTCTCCTATATTCGTATGTTATCTCTGATGTGGCGCCACCACCGCCGCCCGTGGGCCCCCCCCCCCCCTTATATGAAACGAGCTCCCTTCCCCGTGTTGGAAAAGCCGCATGTGTGTGTGTGTTGTGACTCTTTTCTCTCTTCCACTTATTTTTTTTTCTTCAACACGCTGCGTCTTGTGTCTTTCGATATCTACTTGTGCACCGTTCGAAATTCCAATTTTAAAGATCTTTTTGCGGCTTAATCTCAAATACCTTTCTTACAGAAATGCGCACATTAATATTCGAAGCGCCATCAGATTTGGTCGAATCAGTGAGAAACCTAGAAGATGATGTCTTAGAAGGTGGGCGAACTTTTCAGAATCGATCAAATTTTCAAAACTTTTAGAAGTATGTAATGAAGAAATCAAGCAACAAGTTCAGTACCTGGAGACAGTTATAGACGGATGGAAAACTTTTGGAAACGTGGATAAAGATACTCGATCGATGATTTGCGTTCTGCTGAAAGCTAGAAAAGCTGGCTTGTTTGAAAAGAGGATTTTGTATTCAGAAACTACTAAAAAAGAGAAGATTATTCAATCGAAGGGAAGCAGGCATGGGAAACCGATGACTCTGGAGTTGGCATCAACGTGAGTTGGGTTTTTGAAGGAGTTCTAGATAAGAATTTCAAACGAAACATGATTTTTTAAAACTATCAAAGCCTAAGAACGTCTTTCATTTTTTAGTTTTAACGTTATTCAATAAAATTTGTCCAATTCATGATATTTAAAAAACTTTCAGACTAAAAAAATTTGAGCGGTGGAAGAGAGAATCCGGCTGGCCGCAGCCTGAGGTTGAATTTGGGAAACTTTTGAAAACTCTGATGTTCAGAAGTTAGGCCAATACAATTTAATTATGAATTCGTTTTTCAGGAGAAATCTCACAGTTGATTCTGGATCAGACCCGGGTGATGCTGTGCCAGTCTCACTATCGGCAATTCTATCAAACGCCATCGTTGGATACGATAATGGAGTGCCAATCATCTACGAGGTCCTGGAGGCACCAGAAGATAATGCCGAAGGTGAGAGCACCGAAGACGAATCCAAGGAGGACGAAGAAACCAAAAATGTGCAAAGCTCTAGCAACGATAACCAAGCCTCACTAGATATGGACGAGATCTTGGTGGAAGATGATTCTGTCACTGGAGCATCGTGCAATGTTATGCTTTCAAAGAACATCAACTTGGCACGCATACAAGTTAGAGAGGCGTTGGATAATGTAGATGCGATGAAAGTGGCAGATGGAGCTGATGCGATGGACGATGCTACTAGATTGAACTTGATGACCTTGGAATCGAAGCTAATCCAGTCGGCGACGGAAATGGCTCAATCCCAAGTGCCAGTTCCGGAGTGGAAGAAACATCATAACTTGTCAAAAGGAGCTATCAAACGAATGAAGAAGCAAGCTAGGAAGGCTGAGGAAGAAGGCGATAGACGACGTGAACAGGCGTTGATTGAGTTGAATCGACTCCGACAATTGCAACTAGCAGCCAAGGCGGTAGAAGTGATCGAAAGCCGAATCAAGATCAGCCCGCCCCCAGGTCTTGAAGGTGCTTTGGAAAACAAGCTAGAAGAGCCAGCGAAAGAGACCGAACAGTTGGAAAATTTGCCACTGAACGATGTGGAGCTGAAGATATTGTTCCGAATTTTGAAGACGTCGGAAGTCACCGAACCTGGAACTGAAGCTCATCGCATCTATGAAATTTATAAAGACAACCAGCAAGTCCTGGAGGAATATATCCTCAAAAATCTAAACCTGGAGGTTATTGGTAAGAATTTTGGTTTTATTATGAGGAGATGAAAAATAAGATTTCTAGCAAACAACCATTACACCCAGCAAATGGCAGAACTGTCCAATGATATTGATTATTTCCATCGCGTTCAAAATTCGCTGGAATTGACAAAAGAGGAAGAATTGGAGAAGGCCAAGGTTTATATAGAAGCTAAGTTGGAGTACTGGAAGACTGTGAGTTTTTGATGAGAACGGTCCAAAACCCCTTGTCAGAATTCTCGCTTCAGAGGGCTCTGAGGTCAGGCAAAATGAAAAATCAACGCATCCTTTTTTGCTTAACGTTATACTTGAAACACTATCTTAGAAGCCAACCCTATACGTGCATTTCCAGCTAAAAATCTTGTCCATACTATGATAAAATTTTCATCAATTGACTATTTTTTATATTTTTCACTGAAATCGAAAAAAACCGAGTAAAACTTTAGATACTTCCATTTTACCGTAATTAATCTCATAGAAGGTCACCCTAGGCAAGATCAATTATCCCGGTTCCTGTGAGAGTTATCAGAAATCCGTCAACTGATAAAATGTTAGTAATATCATGATGAATATTTTATCATCTGAAAATGTTTGATATCTCTCATAGAAACAGAGATAATTAAGCTCAAATTGCTCGTTTATTTAAGGTTATCTTAGGTTAGAGCATTCACGGTATCTCTACTAATCTCGAATTCCTCTGGGGTACGATTTCGGACAAGGTGTTTTGGACTTTTTGCGCATTTTTCAATTTTCATAAAACTGCTTTTCAGTCTAAGCATCATCATGCTGAAAACTACATCGAGATGTATAAATACTTCCAACAAAATCTCAGCTTCAAAATTGCTCACGTCATCGCTGGCTTCATACCGTTCGAGCATCTCCCGGAAGCCGAATTCGAGCGAACCATGCTCATCCAGTACCAGCATGGAAATTATTCCGAGGATTTCAATGACGAACAACCCGAGCCACTCTCTTGCTGATTCAATTTTTCCTATCATAATAAGTTACTTGTTATCTCTTCTTTTTCATCTCTCTTTTCTTATCACACTGAAATTTCTCGCTGATTTTTTTTGTATCTCTTCTGACAACTGTGACTGAAAATGAATTTTTTTTTATTTTGGAATTTTTTTTATTTTAAAAATTTATAAAATGTATTTTGCATGTGACATAGGCATTTTCAGAGAGATTCGTTGTCAAAACGCATGTAAAAATTATCTGCAAAGAGTTTTAAAAAAAAGTTCTATGAGATTTCTTCAATTTCTGGAATGTCCGCAATAGCGATTTCCAAGGCTGTCCTTCTGGCCGCCATCATTTCTCGATGTTCTTGAGCAGCTTTTCTAGCTGAAAACAACACCAAACTAATATCAATATTGTTTTCTTACCTACCATTATTATAATTTGTAGTCATTTGCTCAATGATGGGCTCTCGATGTTTCCGCAAATGTCCGCAGAAGAACTCGTCGAATTCGAGATGAAACCGCCAGCCCTTGTCAGTATAGTAGAACATTTTCAAAGTGTGCATAAACAGTTTGTAGTAGCTGTGATCGACGATTATTTGCTTATCTCGCTAGAAAAACAAGGGGTTTCGTTGTGAGAGCTTTCGTAAACTAACGCTCTCTCCAACAGACTCGATATAGTCTATCAAATCATCATAATCAGCACCGAAATAGTCGCACGCAGTGGTTAGGAACATTTTCTCTTGTGGGCAGATCAGATGGTGCACATTTGTCATACGGAGACGTCGTCTTGCCTGGAAATGTTTAGGTTAGAGTGAATGGAAATGAGATACTCTATGCAAATCTGAAAATTTAGAAATCAAAAATTTTAATGATTTCGACGTAATCCTAAAATTTAGAGCTATTTAGAGCTGCTAGTGCTAAGAAATTTTTAAATTTGGGAGATAATCAAAAGAACCCCATAACCGTAAGTTTTTAGCCTATTTTCCGCTTTTTTTTTGAAAGAGCGTAAAATTAGAAATGGGCCGGAATTTTTTAATGAGACCAATTTTTTCATGGGACTAAAAATTTCTCATCGAACCGAAATTCTTTTCGTGAGACCACTATTTTTCGAGGGATCGTAAATTTTTAAAGGTACCGTAATTTTCTCAGTGCACCACAGTTTTCTCATAAGTCCGTTATACCCTTGTGGGACCGTAAAATTCATAAATACCGAACTTCTCTGAACTTGTACATTTTCAATACAACTGGAAACTTGTACAAACTTGAAACGATGTACAAAAATTGATAATAATTCAGTTCTCATTGTTACAGAAAATCTGGGGAATTTCGAAAAGTAAACCCAGAAGAGCTATAAATGAAAATCTGAGAATTTCAAAGTCTAGCAAAATTTCATACAGATTTTCTAGATTTTCATGCTGCTTTTTAGAACACATTTGACTCGTTTTCTCTAATTCTACAACGCCGTGCAATACATTTCAACAATACGGCTATACGGCAGAAACACTCAAAATTACCTCTGCTGCACATTTCGACGTTTCATCACTTTTGAGATCTAGTAAATTGAAATATTTCCTGAATTCACTCTCATCGTCAAAAACCGACAAGTTCTGCAGAAGATAAATCGGCCGATTTCCATATCCATCCAATATCATATCCGGTTTTTTGTTGCGACTACTACTGCTGCTACTGCTGCTTCCACTATAGTGATTGCTACCACTACCGTAGTGGTTACCACCAAAACTGTTCCTCTCGTAATGATTAGCACCATAGATGCCAGTGTTCCTGCTACTTCGGAAGTCATTCCCTCTGAAGTCATTCCCTCTGAAGTCGTTCCGCCCCGTATTGTTACTACTGTACTTGTCGAGCCGCTCATTCAAGTCATCGTGGTCAAAGTGCGCAGTTGGCATCTCAAGATGAAGTGGCTTAATTCTGAGCACAAATGCATCTTCTCTGTTGAGTGCCTTGGCGGCTGGTGCCAATGTGCCAATGGCTAACCCTGTGGGGTCGTTTGTGCGGGACCGTTTGGACAGGAGAAACTGTTCAATGGGTTTTTCGTTGTCTGAAATTCAATTATTATGTTTAGAAATAACGATAGACCAACCTCCATCGATGCCTTTCCGTTTCAGCTGTTGAGACATATTCATGGTTATCGCATATTATGACTAGATGAGAAGGAAAATGAATCACAGTACAAAATTACCTGAAAAAAAAAAGGAAATCATTTTTCAAGACAATTTTGGTAGCTGAATTAAGAGAAAAAAGGAAAACGGGCAGAAACACATCAAGAGGATCACATGAGCTGTCGGAACAAGTAAAAACACTCCGGGATGCCAGGGAATTGACAGAATTAGTTCACGTGAGGCATGGTGAAGAAGGAAAGGCGAAAGAAGAACGGAGAAGAGAATCCGAATGTTTTATTTGTTTGGACTATGAGGTGAGGACCATTGTCCTCGTCAAACATACACTGTCAGCCCCCGACCGCATTCTTCCGTGCGGACTAATTCGGCTGGCCAAGAAAATTGGAGAAAAATATCGACTTTCTGGTTGTCCCTGAACCGATATTATCAGAAGATATTGATGAGACGGCTACTTAGGGATAAGAAGAAGAAAAAGAAGAAGAAGAGACTATGAAGAAGACGAGTAGTAGTGCAATGAAACATTTTCTGTGGTGGTGTAATGGAAGAAACGGGGCGAAAAGGGTGCGGGGGCAGAAAATGCGAACAAGATGGGGCGAAACGAGGGATGCGAGGTGGCAACTGGGCGAGTGCGGAGAAACAGAGCGGAAGAGAGACGACGATTCCGAGGCGACTGGGGGGCAACTGAAGGGAATAGAGAAAGCTGCTAGTCGAGAACATTGGCTGAGACAAAGAAAAAAGAAGAACGAATGAAGAAAAAAACGACATAATAGAATCTTGGTACTAAGTGACATTTTTTGAGATGGGAAAATTGTAAAATGAGCGATTTTTTGGAGCTATTCTTCAGGGTTTTTGGTTTTCATTTTTTCGCAAAAATGTGTTAAACTTTTTGAAATTTCAAAAAACTTGTTAACCTTACATTTAGCAGAACGTTAAGATTGTTTTTTAGTATACCTACCGCAAAATTCAATTTCGTTCAAACTTTCTTGAAAAACCAAGAATGCAAAATAATTTTTTCCCAGTTATATCGAAATAAAACAGGTTTAATGGCTGTATAAAGTTTCTAGGATTTTGATAAACCAACATACGAACGAATGCACCCTAAAGCCTGTCATTGTAAGTTTTCTAGTAGAAACGCACTTTAGCTCAATTATCTCGGTTCAAAGATACCTGAAAACTTACAATTGAAAAATTATTCATCATGATATCACCAATGTTTTATCAATGGGCAGATTTTTGATATCCCTCATAGGAACCGAGATAATTGATCTTGCCTACGGTGACCTTATATATTATTAATTACGGTAAAATGGGAGCATCTAAAGTTTTACTCATTTTTTTTCGGCTTTGATGAAAAACATGAAAAATGGGAAATTGCTAAAAATTTCATCATAGTATGGACAATATTTTGTTAACACGGCAATTAAGAAAACTATTACAAGAAATGAGAAACTATCGGTCGAAGATGATGGTTAGGGGGTCCTTAGATGGTTATACTCAACAGCTTAACTGGAATTGATCAAATATTAAATGAAATTTTTGATTAAGTATTGTTAAGACTTCGAAACAACAGAATTTCATTTTCACCTGCCGAGAACTTCAATCAATTTTTAGTTCAGAAAAATTATTTACTGATGAATTTGACTCTAATGATCGAAATTCAGAAAATGTCACCTAATTAACCTAATTATTCTCCATTATTCAATTATTTTACCTAACTCGAAAGCCGATGAACTTTGAACAGAAACAAAAAGAAGAAAATTTAATGACGTCTCTCAATTATCTATTCTCTAGAATTAATTGACAAGTCCTTCTCAACTGAATTGCCTTTGTTTTGCCTTATTTTGAATTTTCTGAGGTCAGTGAAAATCTTAGAAACACATCTCCACGTCGATAGATGGGTGACATGATAATTGTCCGATTTTATTGAGAGGAAAAAAGGGAAAAGAAATGTGTTGTACAAAGAAGATCAGGTTTAGAGACTTTTCTGGGTACTTTCGAAAAAAAATCAATGAAAGAGAGTGATAAGATAACTTTTCTCGTGTGAAAATAATCCCCCGTTATTGAGCTTATTAGGGAATGAGGTTGTTTTTCAGAATGGTAGTTTGACTATTTTATTTATCACTGGCTTGTTTTTCAGTCAAGCAGTTCGTGGTAGTGGTAGAGAAAAGTAAGATGAAAATAAAATCAGAAAGCACAAAGCGCAATTTTCAGACACAAATTTCTTTATTTTTTGATACAAATTTGAGTAACTTCAATTTCTCACGGGACATTAAGTGTCAAAATCTACAAATTTCTAGATTTATTCAAAACGGACCTGGTTCATATGAATCTAGTTTGTTCGTCTGAAAATGAAGAGCTACTAGGAAGTAAGCCGTTTTGGAAATTTGGGGATAACCTTGAAAACGAGATTTGAAGAAAAGTTAAGCAACTTGTATAGTTTTGAATTTTCGAACTAATTGAAATCTTATGAGATACTACAACTTCTAAATTCTGGATTCAAACATTCGTCAAAAATGGCTGTAGTTTAGAAGGAGAAGCTCTGCTACTTTGAAGCTTTCGTATCATGCGGAGGGTTGATAAATGGGCGGAAAAGGATTATGGCTTTTCTCGTTTTTAATCCCTTTTATGTTTCCGGACACAGATGTGAGAGATTGGAAGAAAGATACTTTCCATAGATTTTGTCGATAGAAAAAATCGGTGAGCAATTGCTCCTATGATAACAAAAGCTGTGAAAATGGTATACTGTCGTTTAACGACAACCAGAGGATCAGTTGTGAACACATGACAGTTACGCAGCAGATAAGGATCTCACATGATATGTTTGTAATTTCCAGTTTCACAGCATTCCTGTAATATCAAAAACATGGTTTTCCGATGAATTCAATAATTTTCAAAAGTCTGGAGCTTGGCGGTAAAGTTTCAGATCACTTTGAAAATTTTGAAGGATATTAAACAGACCTAGATTGAAAACTTTGCATTTACAGAATTTTTTGAAAATTCCTAATGTTCCAGTTATTTGCCGATTTCTGAACAGAACTCCTTTTTTGAAGTCGTTTGTATTGAAATCGGTAAAAAAGTGGGTGTGCATTAGAACGCGAAAAATAGCTCAAAACTAAATACTTTCAAAGAGTTTTGTTAATGCAAGGTTTTCAAGCTAGTTCTGTTTCAGAAGCTCCACAATTTTCAATGTGGTTAGACACGTGACAGCCAACTCCAGACTTCTGAAAATGGCAAAACTTGCCAAAAATCAACTGAAAAATACGTTTTTATATAACTTATTGATTCTTAGTGTACATCCGAAAAGCTTCAGGATTTCGTTAATGTCGAATAAAATAAAAAATAATGCACAATGTATTTTCTCCATTGTTTTGAATGAAGAAAATGGGAGAAAATTATATTATTTTTTTTAGAAACTTGTTTGCAATCGTTTGAGAATTTTAAAAAATAGTTCACTTCTCAATTTAACTAATAATTTCAAATTGGAAATTAGATTAAATTGGGTTCACGGTTGGCGCGAGACGGTAGATTCAACCTAACCGCTGAGGAAAATATGTTCAGTAAACATTCTAATAGAATGAACCCTAACTCCGGGCTAAACTCTTAGCCAGTTTATCTCGGTTCCTGATAATAATCTTCTGACAAAAAATTTTTGATATTATAAAAAGCACTTTGTCAGTTGACCATTTTTAAATATATTCTACAGGAAATGAGATAAATTGGCTCAATTTTTTGGTTTCCAGAATCTTCAAGAGATATCTCGAAATTCTATATTTTCCTGTAAATTTATTCCCTGACTTTCAGATATTTTTAGAATATCAAAACAATGATTCGATAAACAATAAGTTTATTTGGGGGAAAAGAAATAAGATACAAAAATTCATCATTCACAAAAACATACTTTGAGAAAGTGTTGGGAATACTCAAGAAAAAGGAGCAGGTTGTTGTTGTTGGTAGGGGTCGAACTAATGAACAAAAGAGACACGTACAGACTCACAAAACCGGCTGATAACCGGGGGGAACAAAATAAAACTATATAAACTTGAATGTATCAATCAGTGGGGGGGGGGGGGGCTGGGTGAGTGTCAAAACACAATAATTGTCTAGACAGAGTATCTTGGAAACTCTGCATTTTGCATTTACAGTGAATCGGGGCGAGTGGCATGGTTACATGAGAAAGAATCTTGTTTTCTAGCTAGTGATGGTGGCTGAGTGGGACCCGCAAACCTTAGGAGAGGGTTTTGTTTAAAATGGAGATGGAAAAATATAAGAAATATTGTCTCGGGATTTTTGAACATAGAACAGGGTAGAATGATTGGGGGGGGGGGGGTGGGATGGCCGTTTTTTACAGGGAATTTCTTTGAAAGAGGAGAATAGGCAATCAATTTACAAGAAAACCGGGTTTAGCAGCTGTCGACAAGCTCCACCTCGTTGTTGATTTCGGCTGTTCGAAGTGGTGTGGTATCCATCTGAAAATAGAGAATTGTTAGATTCCAGAAATTCCAGGAACTTTCGAAAAAATCAATTTAGAGCAAATATTAAGAAAAGCGGTCAACAAGATAGACAAACGCGTATTTTTCAGATGATTTTTGGATTGTGAAAACTATTTTCGGGAGTCTGGAGCTTGGCTGTCAAGTTCCCTATCGCTTTGAAAATTTCCAAGGGTTTAAAACTGATCTAGATTAAAAACTTTGGATTCAAATCTTTTTTTTTTTTGAAATTTTCCAATTTTTCAGATATTTTCCGATTTTTTAAAGACTCCATTTTAGCCCGTATGTTACGATTAAATATCCAATTAAAATTGTTTTAGAACTTACAGTTAAATCAAGCTGACTATCCATCGTTGGCGAATATGGCACGTTGACTTGCGTGGTCTGCGTGTTGCCATTGGTATCCATCGCACTATCAGCACTATCTGATTCGCGTGTGCTCGACGAGCAAGAGCTCTCGTTGGACACAGTGCTTGCCCAGCTCTTTGGCCGCTGTCTGTTCTCTAGCCAAGCATCCTGCGACGATTCGCTTTTTCCAAGGCGTTGGATCCATTTGCTACGGGCGGTTGGGTCGATGGTTTCAATGACGTATGCGTCAGTCTTGGCTTCATCCCAAACTTCAAAGCGGTTGGAGCTGCTGCGAGATGATGTGTCGTATCCAAGCGAGATGATCTGGAATCACAACAATTTTATAGAATCGATAATTGGCGGGACTCACCGGAATGCAAAACTTGTGCTCGAAATACTCTGGTTCCGAGTTCAAAGTAGATGCTGGATTGCTAACTCGCTTCTTGCAGAACATGACAGCTCCGTCGAAGAAGAAAAGGAATCTCTTCTGCGCACGTGACAACTTGGCCTTCTTCTTACGGTTGTAGGTGTACACATCGCATTCGGTTTGAAGACGAAGGAGACCGAGCGACTTCAAGTCACCATTGTATCCAGAAATGTGTAGTTGTTGCATGGAGGCGTCGATTTGGTTGAGGAGCTCTACCATACTGTCGCGAGTCTTTGCCACTTCGTCTCGCACATCTGCTGGGCAGTCATCCATAATGTTTCCAAGAAGAAGTTGGTACTTCATGATGCGTTGGATTGGCTTGAGGAGGTAGGAACTCATATCCATGTTGTGATTGGCTTTTCGTTGGCAGTCTTTGAAGAATGGATGGTTCTTAACAGAGTCTCGGACTTTCTGGTTGGATCCGTGAATTTGGCAGTAGGTGCGGTATGTGAGATAGATCCTGAAAATTTATTTTTAGATATTTGGGACTTTTTCTAGTATTTTCTAACTCACTGATTTCGATGCTGCATCAAAACTCTGCACATCTCTGCTGTTGATCTCGCGGCTACCAAATCCTCCAAAACTACTCGATGATGGAATTTGTAGAGCTCACGAACGTTGCCAAAGAGACAGTCTGGCTTGCCTCGAAGCGAATCTGGCAGACTTGCTTGGTTCTCGACAGCCTCGAACGGTTCCAAGTAGTGAATTATGACCTCTTTGAGATCGGCGACGTAGCTAATTTCAGTGGCAATCTGAAAAGTTTGAGGTTAGGTTTGAGAGAAGGAAAACAGGATTTCTTACCATCTCATCATAAGCATTGGTTACTTCACGGGTGTCACGTCTTGGACTAAGTCCACCGGCCGGTGTTGAGTCTCCTGAGCAGCTTGGAACATCCTTGGAGTCGTGCTGGAAAACCTGAGGGGGTTAATATATTGTTTTTATTTTGTAGTTGTAGTATTTTTAGTATCTGGTACTCCCTCATGATTCATGTTTCCTAAATGCTTCTGGGGATTTCCAAAATGGCGGCTAATAATCGACAATGAAGTGCGCCATACGCGTCCCTTGGGTCTTTTTAACACATTTTGCTTCTGCACGACGAGTGCTCATTATGACAAATGCAACAATAGTAGTGCACAATGTTTGAAATTTTGGCCTCCCCCTTTTGGAACCTTATCTGATCTGTCAGGGTGTTCTAATGTTTGACAACAATTATTTGATTGGGTGTTGAGATTGAATTGAACGTCCCAGAATGGGAGGCGTACCTCCTGCTGAAGCTTCTCAGCTTCTTTATCTCGTCGCTTTTTGACAAGTGCCCACAAAAAGCAATATTTCGTTAGAAGTGAACCCCAGAATCCATACTTCTTCTGAAGGATGGACATCGACAGTTTCAGAGAGAGAGAGAGAGAGAATACAAGAAGTAGGGTTTTTGGGTTATAATGGAAAATTTGGGAAGAAGAAGAACAAGAAAAGAATAACTGTTCAAACTCTTTTTTTTAACCGTTTTTCGCTGTGCTAAGAAGCATCACCACCTAAAATTCTAAACGCAAACAATTAGCGAAACACCTTAAATCTCCTATTTTCCTCTTCTTTTTTTTCGTATTCTTCCCCTTGCTCCTCTTTATGTCATCACAAGGGAAAAAGGAAAGTGATTCTAAAAAGAGAGAAACCTTGAAAAATCGAAAGGACATCGGATATGAGTGTAATTAGACGCACAGCATTTGGATGTGCTGCTGCACCACCTTCCATCTTGACACCATGAATCCTTCAACAACCCGCAATTATTCAAAGTTCCCTTTTGGAGACTGAATAGCCCTCTGGACGCTAGCATCCCCCAAAAAAGAGTCTACATATCATGCTAAGTTTGATGCCAATAATGTGGAGACTTTTTTTGGGAAAACAAAGTTTCCAAGTTTTGTATTTGTACTAAAACAAACAACATCGTCGTTTTTGTGGACACACACAGATTTTTATCGGTTTTTTTGGCGCCACAACTTCTTCCCCCAGAACGACTTCATCGTTCATCATCGATAGATATATATTTCAAGCAAAACGAGTTCCCATTGGACATATCTGGATTGCATTCTTCTGGGTGTCAGAACAAAGCAAATGTTTTTATAGCCTGCCTGTTACCTAAAGACGGTTTCGAAACGTTTTACAACTGCCGCAAAGGAAAGGGATAGCCTATCAATAGGCGGTGGTGAAAGTGGTTTAGGTGTTTCAACAATGGGGAGGAAATGAAAACGATTCGGGCCATTTGCGAAAGGCGCCAACCGTATTGGAATAGAATACTTTTTGTTTCCTTTCCATTTCCATAACTTGAGGTCCCATGGTCTTTTAAAAGCAGAGGGTTGCTCTGAGTGGTTGCTGGCTGCTCGTAACATATTGTGCTTACGTGTGGCTGGGCACTCGAGAATGAGCTACGCAAGTCGTTGGCACCAATGTTAACAATAATCGGAAGTACGGGATAAACACAACACGCGAAACGATTCGACCAAGGGTCAAATTATCGTTTCTCTATACAGTTTGCCGCTGTTTTCCCCGCTAAGATATAACCTTTTCTATGAGGCCGACCGATAGAATATCTAATAAAAAATTTTCAGCGGATTTTCGCCTTTTTCAGGAGTTTGAAGCTTGGCTGTCAAGCTTCCCATCCTTTTAAAGATTTTGGAGAGTGTAAAAGAGACCTAGATTGAAAATGTTGCCTTCACAGAATTTTTGGAAAATTCCTAGTTTTTCAGGTATTTTCTGATTTCCAAAAGACGCATCTCTATGGCCCGGAAAACGTGAAAAAACAACGTTCCTTCTCCGTTTTACTGTATATCATCCGCCATATCAACTGATATCCCCTCTTGACAAGAAATTGTCTTTCTTCCTTTCCCCCTTAGTTAATTAAAAAGGAAATAGATTACACTATTTGCCAAAACAGGGTGTAAATGAATGAATCGAATCGTGGCAGAAGGAGGCAGAAATTCATAATATACAGTGCAAATAAACAGGCCCTAAAACGTTCTGAATTGACGACCTTCCCGCGATAAGAACTAAATAGGGCATATGAAACTAAATAGCAAACTACGCTATATGTTCATTCCCAAACACATTGTCAAACATCTCCCCTTATCATAGTACAATATACAATTGGCTAAATAATAGTCGGCACTTTTGCTTTTGGTGTTATCAATCCCGAACTTTACAGCTGAGCGCGGCTAGAAAGTGATACTTGGCCTCGATGACAGGCATCATATCAGTAAACGAAACCAGTTTTTGCAAAATACTGTTTGTGCCATCACCGCCGCTAAATTAAACCCTACGCAATGTCAGTAGAGAGCGCAACCGATTTTGATAAAGAGTAAACAAGAAGACGAAAAGTAATGAAAAATTGGATTACATTTTTTTTTCTTTCGGAAAACGACCGGAATTTGATTCCTATTGAAAACAGCTAAACTGATTTTGCGCAACGGCGGTATTATCCCGAAAAAAAGGGAAAAAGGTCCAATTCAAGACTTACCTCATACTGATGCTCATTGTAGTTCATAACAATCAACGGTGCCGATACGGAAGTGATGAGTCTGCGCTTTGAGCGCCGGAACGACAAGAATCTTGGAAGTGTACGCTTCATGAAGGCAGTCGGTGGCTCCAGAGTGCTAACAAGTGAAGGATAAGTTGGTAGAAATAAAAAAAAAGAAGTTACAAAGCATAAAAAAAGAGAAGATAGAAATCGGACCGATATGCCCCGCAAAAATGGAGAAAATGAAGTAAGAGAGAAGGGCGGAGCAGAAAAGGACGGCCCGCGCGGGAGGAGGAGGGCAACGCAACACAAGTGAACGCGGTGCGCGCGTAGACAGAAAGAGTGTGTATGACGAAGAGACGCAGACAACGAGGCAACAAATCTCTACAGTTCAGAAGGCCGACGGAATGACTAGGCGGACGGACCCCTAGGTGTTTTTGTGGTGACAAGAGCGAGAGAGCAAGAGACGACGAGACAGTTTGCGTGTGTTATGGTTTAAATGACGGATTAGGTAAAGACGATGAGGGGGACGGTTGACCGTATGATTTGACGATAATGCAATGCGAAGGACCGAGAAAGGGCATTGACATCCGATCTGTTTATATAACTCATCTGGTGGCAATAAACCTCCGTTCCTCGTTCAATTAATCCAAGTATATAATTCTGGTTTTTGTAAATGCATTCTGAAGATACAAGGGACTAAGTGGATTCTTCTTAATGCTCGCAGAAAGGAAAAGAAATAAAAAAGAGCAATAATTATAAGCTCCCGTGGCCACCTTAGAAATAAAAAGAAGGGCAAATGCTTCTGCCTATTTTTGCCTAAGAAGCAAAAAATGGGGCGGAAAAGAGCGTCCGGGGCCACCAATTTTTCTTCCACTTCCTCCCACCCCAAAAAGATACGAAAAGCCAACCAACCAAGCAGCACAGAAATAAAAACAATCGAAATGTGAAGCAAAATGAATGGGGAAAAGGATTCCAAAAAAGAGAGGAATTAGCGCGATTGATCTGCTTTAATTTGGCGGTAAAAAATGAGGCGCGGGGCTGTCGCTGCAGCTTCTGACTACGAATTGGGAGGAAAAATAACAAATCTAGAGGCAATGATGGATGGAATTTATGCCTATTCTTGGAAGCAGTGAGATTCAACACACTACAAATTTCAAATTTATGCATAACACATGGGACATGGCTCGTGATTATCATTACTTACTCTCTTATTAATGCGAAATTGAGGCTTTGCGTATATTTTTCGAAGATCACGGGTATTCAAGAGAATATAAGAAATACAAAAACATATTTTTCAGTTAATTTTCGGTAATTTGGATTATTTTCAGAAGTCTAGAGCACGCCTGTAAAGTTTCCATTCACTTTGAAAATTTTGGAGGGTGTAAAAACAGACCTAACAAGGGAACCATGTTTAGCCTTCATCTCAGAATTTCTTCTAAATTAGCTCATTTATAGTTTCGAATACGGGCTTTCTTGTGATGTATTTAGTTATCTGCACAAATTTCTAGAAGTCGAGGGAATTCCATCTGAAAATATGTTGGTATTTTGGTCTCCTCCTTCCCTTCCACTTTCCCCTCTTTTTTCTATACATTTTCCACTGTGGAAGAAACACGCAACAGTGGCCGAGTGGATAGTGGGGATGAATAGTAATTACAAGTTTGGGGTTCGATTCCGTCATTGTGCATTTTTCTTTTTTCTTTTTTTCTTTGACGTTGGAGGAAATTGCATTTTTCGAAAATCAAAACTATGTTTGCTCTATTTTTTGAGTAGGAAAAAAGCTTGAATTATTTTGAGAGAAAAATTCATTTTGGACTTGTTTCGAAAAATATCCAATAAATATCTTCTGAAAACTTCTTGAAACACTACTGGAAAGCCTTATATAGTCAAAATATCAGTCGAAATCCCCCGTTTTGATCATATTTAGTGCGGAACAGTGATAAATCTTGCAAGAAGTATGTAAATCTATGTTTTCACAAGATTTGAGTGCTACTGGGTGATTTTCGAAGGAATACGATTCATAGAAGTTTCGGAAGAAGCCACTCATTTGAGATTTCAAAACAGATATAGGCTATAGAATTATGTGAAAAGACTCATTTTATGATTTCTATGAGCTTAGAATGCATTTTAGCACATTAAAAATTTTTTCGAAAAATTGTAAAATTTCGCAAAGGGGTACATGGAAAAACTTTTTCAAAAAAATTTTTTTTTGAAAAATGAAAAGACTCTGTCAGATTGTAGAGAAATTCTCAAAATTACGATTCACACTCAAGAAATGCCGAAAAACTCTCATTAACCCTTTCAAAAACTCACTCCAAAAGTGAGAAATTAGTACTGAAATCACCTAAACAGCCCATAACTCGACTTCTAGAAATTTGTGCAGAAAACCAAATACATCACAAGAAAGCCGGTATTCGAAACTAAAAATGAGCAAATCTAGAAAAAATTCTGAGATGAAGGCTAAACATGGTTCCCTTGTAAAGTGAAAACTTTGCATATACAGGATTATCTGGAAATTCCTAGATTTTCAGCTAATTGTCAATTTTTGAAAGACACCCTTTTTAACCTGTTTTCGGCATGAAAACTTGAAAAACAGGTGTCCTTCAGAAGTCGGAAATTAACTGAAAAACTAGAAAGCTTCTACGTTTTCAACAATTTGCCGGATTTTGAAAGATACCGTTTTCCCGTTTTCAGTACAAAACGGTCCAAAAGAGGCGTTTTCAGAATTTGGAGAATAGCTGAAAAACTAGAAATAATCGAAAAACTCTGTGAATGCTAAGTTTGCAATCTAGGACTGTTTTATACCTTTTATAATTTTCATAGTGACCGGAATCTCGACAGCCGAGCACCAGCCTCTAGAAAATGATAAAAATCGCCAAAAATTCTCTTAAAAAATGGGGTTTTTGAATATCTTATGTCAAAAATATTCAAACCGCAGGCGCTGATAACAAATTAAAAAATGCAGATGAACGAGAAGTCAAAGTGGGTGGAGAAGGCAGATGGCACTAAGAAGATCTCCTACGCAAATTTTTAACCGCTCCACTCCCTCACTTTTCGTCTCCTGCGGATCGGTCAAAAGTGCTTCCACATGTTTTCTCTCTCGTCGCCCCGAGTGTCCGAGTGGTACGGGTCAGCACAAATCGGTTTTTTAAAAAGATTTTAAAAAAGAGAAGAGTGGTGCTAAACGATTGAGGCTTTTGAAAATATTACATTTCTTACAAACAAACAAAATCTATTTGCAGCTAGACTAGACAAGAAGAAATACCGTAACCCTAAAGAACAGAAATGATTCTTACAACAAGGAGAAAAAATTAATGGAAAACGAAACATGGTGAGACAAAGAAGAAGGTATAGAAGAATTGGAGAATTCAATATGTACAGTTTCCGAAAAAAAAGATCTTGTTGACCAACGAGATGACTACCATCAGAAGCCGCATCATCAGTGCCATTTGAATATAAGCCGAGAAAAAGGAAAAGAGGGGTTCCGCGAGGACGGGTCGTTGAGTGTTTTTCGAGTGTTCGCGTGAGAACAGCTATCATGGAAGGATAATGCTCCCGACGAGTTTCTTCTCGCTGTGGTGTATGTAATTTGTTCAAATAATGGAAGATAATATGCCTAAGCTGACTCCGAAACAGCACAAACCTTGATTCAGAGCCAAGGGCGTGGGAAAACCCAGCGAAATAAATTGAAAAATATATAGTGTAACGTGAGTGCCCTATTTTTGCCCCCTCGGGGGTAAAAGAAAGAGTTATGACCAACTTTCGAGGAGAAAAAAGTGGAAAATGGAAAATCTTATGACCAAAAAGAGAAAACAAAATCTCAATAAGCAACTTTCTCATATACCGGATAACGGTGTGTACCTCCCATGGCGCTAGGACGACCTTCACGAAATTCTCCAGCTGTTGCTACCAGTTCCATTGGTGACGTCACGCCGGTTTATATTCAAATTGACGACAATATAAGAATATTTCGAAAACAATTTTCTCTAGACTAATTAGAGCTTATTCAGACGGAAATTTCTAGAAGCAAATAATTTGTTTACAACCTGAAAAGAAAAAAGTCCTGTCTGAAAGAAATCTGGAAAATTTGAAAAAGTGAAAATAAAACAAAAAAACCAAAAAAATAAATCATTTTGAAGACACCAACACCAGTCAAAAAGACACACGAAAACGTAATTCTTAGTTGATTTTCGGTCGTTTTTACCATTTTCAAAAGCTCCGCTATCCAGTTTTCGATCATTTTGAAAGTTTTGGAAGGTATGAAACAGGGCGGAACTCGCTAATCAAACTGAGTAGAATAAAACTGTAACATAATGAAACTGAGCATAATAAAACCATACTTAACAAGCCAGGGCCCGGCCCACAAGCCTCGCCGAGCTTTGCCTTGGCTAGGCTGGGCTCTGGAAGTCTCTGGCTCCGCTCGGTCCGCCCGGCGAGGTTTTGCGGACCGGGCCATGGCCTGTTAAGTATGGTTTTATTATGGTCAGTTTTATTATGTTACAGTTTTATTCTACTCAGTTTTATTAGCGAGTACCGCCATGAAACAGACCTAGATTGAAAACTTTGCTTTCACGGAATTTTTGAAAATTCCCAGTTTTTCAGCTACTTGCCGATTTCTAGAAGACACTCATTTTTGACCCGTTTTTGTACTGAAAACGTGAAAATGCAGGTTTCTTTCAAAAATCGACAGATAGATCAAACACTTGGAGTTCTCAAAAATCTCGGTAAATGCAAAATTTTCAATCTAGGTCTGTTCTACGCCATCCAAAGCTTTCAAAGTGATTGGACACTTTATAGCCAAACGCCAGACTCCTGAAAATGTCGAAAATCAACTAAAAAACTCAATTTTGTATATCCTATTGATTGGTACTGTATGTAAAACGGTGCAATCCAGGAAAAAGCATTTTCCGAAAAAATGCAACCAATTTTTTCCCATTTTTTGTTCTTTTTCTTCTTCTCCGCGGCGCCCCTAATGAATCATGAGGGGAGGTTCCTTCTGTACACATGTCGGCACTTTTTCACCCTTCTGTATGATTTATTCCATGTTGCTCACCTCTGTCTTGCTATTCTTTTTGCTTTTCTTCTCCGGCGTGACAATCTGTACCGGTGGCGGTTTTTGTAGGTGTAGTTTGTTGAGTTGGTCACGTTTCGCCAGCGACATTCGCCGAATATCTCCAATGCGTTCTTCGATCTGGAAAATTGAGGCTTTTTAGGATGTATTCTCAGAGTTTCACTTCTTAAGATTCTTTTCATAAGTTCTCTCTTCACGCCTCACTTCCGATTACAGTAGTATCATATCGCCTAACGGGGCGCGATAAGATATTCTGGAAAAGGAGATGAAGAAGAAGAAGAAGTATTGCAATCTATTCAAATCGCGATAAAAGTCATTTCCCCAGAATCGCAACTTTTTACGAAACAACAATAAGATTGCTATATACGAAAAAGAAGAACACGACGACGATCTATTCGTTTTGAACGCCGAACATTCTCTTTCTTCTCATTTATATGCATGATCGAACTGCTGCAGCGATCATACAAGGTCCGTGGTTTCCTTATTCGAATGAGAGGGGAAGAATTGGTATCATTAAGGGGATTCTAGTTTGAAAGTTTTTGAACGAGTCGGATCATTTGGCACTTATTTGTTCTCTAATTATTTGATTATCAGAGGTGAAGTTTGCAGCGTTCGAAATGATTGAAATGTATACTTTGGGGTTGGCAAATAGAAAAAGGTTATATGATATTTGGAAGTTTTCTAGTTGGATTATTGGTGGTAATCGGAAGTAGTTTCGGGAAGAATTTTGATATCGTAAAACCAGTAATAAGGACACCTAATTGCTAATTTTGAGCCAATTTCAAAAAAGTGTATTTCAGTGCATTTTTAACCATTTTCAGAAGTCTGCAGTTCGGCTGTCTAGTTTTCGATTGTTTTGAAAATTTTGGAGAATGTAAAATAGATCTAGATTAAAAACTTTGTGTTCACAGAATTTTTTGAAAATTCTAGTTTTTCAGCTATTACTCGGTCCCTGAACAACACCTGTTCATTACGTTTTCAAAACGGTAAAGTACTAAAAAGGGGCGTTTTTCAAAAACCGGAAAATATCTGAAAAAACTAGGAGTTTTTAAAAATTTTGTGAGTTAAAGTTTTCAATCTAGGTTTGTGTCCCATTCTCCAACATTTTCAATGTAATCAGAACATTGACAGCCGAGCTCCAGACTTCTGAAAATCGTGTAAATGGTCCAAAATAAACTGAAAAATATATTTTGTACATTTGATTGACAAGTACCGTATCTCGCTTGCTGTCCAAGATATGAAAAAGTTGTCGACTGATAATTTGTTTATCATTAATTCAGAAGTGTGTTATCAGTTGACACTTTTCAGATATCTAGCATAGAAATTGAGATAATTCAGCACAAACTTGAGAGTCTTGACAATGTGGGGGCTCTTCTATTACAGTTTTCACGGTATATTGAAAAATCCGATTTTCTAGAAATTACAAAAGATTTATGTGCCTTTAAAAATGACTGATTCCACGAAAACTAAAAAAAAAAAAAACTCAAAAACGCATAAATTATTTTTGCCACCCTCTCTATATACTTTCCTTTATCTTTTTCTCTTTTTTCCCTTTTCCGAAAATTTTTGATTGAATTAGCATAACCGCATCTGACAGTGTGTTTTGTCGGGCCGCCTAGATGGTTTATGAGGCCTTCTGAATTATTTGGTGCCCAAACGGACACTCAGTAAATTTCTCACCAAATTTCCAGTCGGCAAAAGAACAAAGAGTAATGAATCTAAGAAAAGGGGTTAAATGGAGAGTGAACAAAAATGGAGAGGGGAGATTTTGGTTTCGTTATTGGGAGAGTAAATTGCAGGATATCCGAATATGGAATGAGATTTTTGGGTCAGAATGCTCCAAAATATTCGGTCTAGGGGACTAGGACGCCACCTGGTGACACGAGGGGAAGCATCATCTTGCAAAATCATAAAAAGGCCAACGCACCAGAACATCTGCGAATATCATTTTCGCTATTTTATAGCTCCCAACGATACTCGAATTGAAAATCGTCGACGCGTTTTTATTATCCCGATATTGAAGAAGAAGAAGCAAAAGTAGGAGAATATCAGTAATGTGTAGTAGTAGTAGTTTTTTTCTTTCAGCTAGCAAAAAGCTCAAGAAATAATTCCCAGGAAAAGAAAGTTCGAATTTTTCAGCGACCGAAAAATTGGAATGTGATCGTATAAGACACCGGATAATCAGTTTCTCCGAACCGGCAACCCTTTGTTTGCTCATTTTCCGTTGATTCTTCCGGATCATCACCGGTGGGGGGGGGGGCATGCCACTATCATTTACTAAGCCGCTAAGTTTTTCATTAAGACCCCGGTGAAAAATTGTACGGAAAGTGTGTTCTAGAACTTACCAAGTTCAGCAAAGTCGATGTTTCAATGGTTGTGAGAAGCAGGAGTTGATTCATTGGGGATGTGGTGTCTTTCAGGAATTCAATCTGAAATTTTACATTTTCAAAGTGTGTTTTTCGAAAAACATCCATAATAGATATATTTGTGCAACACTCGAAACATCATGTTTTTGCTCAATCAGAACTAAGAACTGTTGTTGTTTTTTTTCTTGAAAACTGGAAAGGTGAACACTGTCAATAGAAAAGTATGAAAATACCAATATAGGTCGAAAGAGGATAATTTTATCATTAAGCTCCGCCCAAAATCAACATCTTGGCACTTGATCAATGACCCATTTATTGGGTTTTGTGATATAGTTTGATCAGTATGGATTACAGTAATATACAAACATTTTTTTCAAGCTGACAATCTTGCTACAGTAACCTATATAAACTTCGACTATGAGACAATAAGAATTGACAAATCCAACTTCCTATTTGTAATTTAAATCATTTTTGAAAAAAAAAATTCTACAGTAATTCCTAATACTCTGGAAAAAATCGAAGTTCAAAGTCTGGACTTCCTTGATCAATTTTAGAAATGTAGTTTTTTTCAGAGTTTGCTAGTTTATAAAAAGTTGAAAATAAACTATTTGGATAAGATGTTTTAATTTGAATTAGTTGCGGTCTCGAATTCCCAGAATTTTTATTTAATTGGTTACCGTATATTCTTTCAAAGAAGCGAACTCAATACGCGCACTTTGAGCTCAATTATCTCGGCTCGTCTAGAAGATATCGAAATGTGTTCTACTAATAAATTTTCAATTATGATAATAAAATTATTGTGTCAGTTGACACATTTTCAATATCTTTCAAAGGTACCGAGATAATTGAGCTCAAAGTGCACATTAGGGTTGGCTACTACTAAAGCAAATACGGTAGACTGGGGTTTTGAAATTCCAAAAATCTTTCCGAGAGCTTACAAACCCCAACATTTCAAAAATTGATATTATTCCCAGATCCCATAGCCCATAAATCCTAACTCACATTCAAATGATTTCCTTCCTCAATAAACTCATCGAGCGCTGACAAAGATGTTCCTGGATTTGGATTGGTGAAATCGGACATTCCAGACGCTAATAAGTCAGCTCCACGGGTGCACCACGCATTTGCCTGAAAAATATGTTTCGTACTATCCAACCCCCATCTACAAACCTGTGCAATTTGCTCATGCATCGTAGCACTACGCTTCAGACAATCGCCTCGTCGCTCCAATGCGGATGTCAACGCCGCTGCCATCCTCTCCAACTCTTCACACTTTGGCTCCAGACTTCCAGAGAGCTGTAAAAAATTTTGCTGAACGCTTCAAAAAGTGTCATTGTCGTTGTTTACCTCAGCCTCGTTTGAGCTGATGAGATCCTCTCCAGCTTTTTTGAGGTTTCTCGACGCCTCGACTTCTTCCTGAAAAGACATGTTCAGATTGTTGTCCCGACTAGTCCTTGGACAGTGTTCCTCTTTTTTTTTGGTCTCCTTCTTCAACTAACGCGTCGATCTTTTTCAAACAGATAAAAAGATGCGCTTGAGAGGGTTTCGAGTATACATAAACACAACCGATTTTCGTCATTGTCGGGTCGGGTCATTTCGGTAAATGGATTTGATGCTCTGCGCGCAAAGAGAGGAATTCTCATCCAAAAGTCAAGGATAAGGATTGCAAAAAACTAAGAGAGATAGGAAAAATAAAAATGCGGGAAGAACGATGGGAGAGAGGATGGGGGGGGGGGGGGGGGGATTCTCAATGTGTGAAAAAGATGAAAAAGATCTTTGATTACCTATCAATTCAAGTTGTAAAAAACGCACACACCAAGGTATAGACTGAATTAAAAATAGATCTATCAGGGCAGAACTGGAGGAAAATAAGGATCAAGTGTCCGATAACTCACCATAGCTCCTTCGGTGTATTGTCTGTGCTGTTCGGCAAGATGCAAAGCCTTTTCGGTGCAGTTTCCGACTTCTCGATGCTCCTCCAAATACAGCATGTGGCGTGCGAATGCGGCTTGTAGCTGAAATAAAAAAAAACAATAGTATTAATTAATATCCAGTTGAGTGGATTCTAAAAAATAATTAGTTTATGCATCATTAACTTATTAAGTAGCGGTCCTTTATCTCATTTTTCTTCAAGAAAACAAAAGATAAAGCTTAGGAGGGGAAGATTGTAAGATATTGTACGGCGAATGAGATAAATGATTGGGTGGAACAGGAACTAGAAGTAACGAACAACACAACTGATCATTTACTTTCTTTTTACACTTACAAGAAGCGCTGAAACTAGAACTTTGAGAAAAATAGGTTCAATTCCTTGTTTACGCCGCAAATCCAACTAGCTGACCGATGTGTGAAGTCTGAGAGAGTGGGTAAAAGGGTCAGCGGCGAGAAATCTGACACCTTCCTGTTTTTTAAGAAACGGACAATAAATAAAGAGGCTGGAGTACTAGTAGTTGTACTAGTACTACTAGACCCGTCAATTTTCGATTCACGGAAGTTGGCAAATTGCTTTTTTTTGGCTTGTCATGTTTCCCCTAATCGTTTCTATTTGAAAAAGCTTCTAAAATTGATTGTTTTAAAGGACCACATTGGCCAGAATTTTTTCGTTTTTTTTTCTCAGAAAATTAATGGGAAGAAGTCATTAAAGTAAGTGACGGATGGTCGACGAACATTAATAAATTATCCTAGCCCGTAAAAATTTCCAGGAAAAAACGATGAGAGAAAAATTGTCGATCATATCACAGGTGAGAAAAAGAGGAGGATGATCCGTGAAAAAGTGGAACAGAAAAACTTGATAAAATGAGTGAGAGAGAAGAAGATATGATATGAAAAGGTGCCGCTGGTGTCAGAAAAAAGATAAATGACTAGAGATGAACATTTGTAAGGGGTCTTCAAACCCAGATTTTGATGGAAATTATGGGATAGGTTAGGAATAGCTTGTCTATACATTATATTAGAAGCTGTTCGACAGTTTCAGTGCCAAAATCTCGTTTTCAATGCGATTTTCTCAATTGCGGGACGTTTCAGAACATGAAACTAGTTGTATAATACCTAGCATTCAATGAAATTATATATTTTAGACTTTTACTCAGAAAAATTTTTTTTTTCAAAATTTTGAATTTTTCTACCACTTGAATTTGTTCGAAAATTTGAAAAAAATTGAGAATTTGTCTGAAATATGAATCTTATTTCTATTTTAAGTTCAAAACAACAAACTTTGGAATTAAAACTGATATAACTCGGCTGAAACTGGCGAACGGATTCTGAGAATTCCAGGCTTTTCATGAAAATTATGAGCTAACATTTTGATCAAAATCCGGGTTCCCAAGATGGCGAGGTTCCATTGTGAAAATTTGGAAACGAGCAAAAAGTACAAATTCTTTCAATTTTTCCTACAATAAATAAGGATTTTTGAAGAAAAGTATAAGTCTCTACAAAGTACAACCACCTTTGGAAATTATTATTTTTCCGAAAAAAATTTTCTATTCAACACTCCTGATGATAGGAATGAAGAAAACAAAAAGTCCGAAAAACTTTTTTTTTCCGAACAGAAAAGAAAGTTCATAAAAACTAGTTGTGTGTTTCCCGGAGAGAATTTGAGAACTTGGGAACTTGAGAAGAAGAAAACGAAAAAGAATGTTGAAATCTATAAAAAAATGATGGGAAGGAGAAGCTTTCAGAAAATTTGAAGAAAAGAAGAGTGAAGGTCAAAAACACTTCCCTCCTCCTCATTCTTTGTTTTATGCCTCCTTCTGACCAGAAGTTGTAAACAACACTGATAACTATGCTATCAATCAGCGACGTCGTCTTGTTCTTGTTAACACCTATTCATAGACTAGATTAAGTTAAACACAATAGATCTTCGGTTATGAAGGACGAGGAGAAATTTTTTTTCGAAAAAAAAAGGAAATTTTTGGGCACGAAAGAGGCTTTGAAGAAGAAAATTGCAAGTTTTCTGTCGAATTGAAGCCAGATGAGATTGCAAGGAACGGAGGCAAAAACTAAGGGAGGGCTAAGTGACCCGCAATAAGAGATGGCAATGGGAGATAACCGGGATAATGGAAAAGAAGGTCAACTTGGTTTTTTCCGTACCTACAGTGCTAATGGAAAATGATAGGAAGTAGAGAAGGGAAAAAAACTAATTAAGAAGTTGTGAGTGAAAAGAAGAAATACGAGATGAAATACAAAGAACGCGTAAGAGCTGCCAGATGAGAGAAAAAAATAGACATGTGAAACAACAAGGCGAAAAAAAAACACTCAGAAGAGATGGAAAATGTCTCGTTTGCAATGATATATGTGACACAAGATGACATTTTTGTTGCTTTCAACATCATTCCTCCTGGCTGTACTACTAACCGCAAAAAGCTGGGAAGAAAGTCGACAATTTTCTCATAAAATTTTCTAAATGTTCTCAAAAGTGGCCTAACAAATGTCTTCTTGACCTTGGCGAAGTGATATACACTAAAGAAGGAATGGAATGAATAAAGAATTATTAAATTTGGAATCATGATGAAGATGTAAAAGAGGGCTAAACGACCAACCTTACGGAAGCTGTCCTCGAATTGGCGGAGTTCAAGGCAATATCGCAATCGGCGCTCGTGTTTGGTCCAAAATGAATCAAAGCTTCGTTCTGTTTCCTCTGAAATAAAATGTCTATTTGTATATATAATAATAAGTTCTCAAGTGCACAGCTGAGCCAAAATTTTATGAACCTATATTTCGGGTCAAAACATTATAGACCTATAGTTTAAAATAGAAAAAAATCTCAATTTTAAACGAATGAAGGTTGATGGAAACGGTATTTTGACCATTCGAAATAATGCCTAGAAATTACAAGTGAGAATTCGTTCTGAAGCTTCGAAAACTTCAATTTTCATCTGCGCTCTGCTGTGAAAGAATTTGTAAAGTACAAGATACTACAGCTGGGCAGATAAGTTCGAAATTTTATGATCGAGATGACCCAACAAATGGATTTTAATGATTTAGAAGTTCAAGAGAATTTTTTGGTTTCGTTGAATGAAATTGGAAAGGGATTTGATAATTTGAATTTTGAAAAAAATTCAAAAAAGTAGCTGGAAGTCAAAAGTTTAGAAATTTGTGTTGGAACTCTGGAAAATCTCAAAATGTCCCAATTTCTCTGAATTTTTGAATGAACGTAGTTTCAAAAAATTTTGGAAAGTTTGGAATCAAAATTTTGATATTATCAGCGTGAAACCATTCCTTTCCAGCACCTGAGAATTGTCTGAACTTTTTAAATTGCTTTGAATTAGGCTTAATTTCTATTTAGTGATATTATAGCGAATTCTCTTATTTTTAGTACTTTAATGTGCATTTAGAAAAGTATATATTAAATTGACCGATTCTTACTTTCATCTGCTATTTTCGTGTAAAATTTAGAAAACTTCAACATATTAAACTTCCAGAAAATTTATATCTTTTAAACCAATTTTTATTATATTTCATAGACCAAATTACATAATTTTCACATGTTTCTCAATCAATTCAAGATCCCCTCAACCCTAAATTCACCACCACATTACCCTTATTTATTTCCGCCTTATCTCATCTTGTTGCCCAAAAGCCCCTTTGTTCTCTTTCTCGCTTCTCCCCTTATTTTTTACGATTTCTTTTAATGAGTGCCCATTCTGGCAGTACGTACCCAATTGGACCAGCATTCGCTCAATGGCCGTCACATTATGTAGCCGAGTCGGCGATAGTTGTTCAGGTGTCGGCTTCTTGTCCAGCTGCCGGACGGACTTGAGCAGGGTGAAGCCTTTGCGGACGGCAATTTTGAATTCTTCCTGTAAAATGAAGAATTCCATGAATTCCCAAGGAGGAGAGGGCACTAATCATCATGACAAACATTCTCGATTTTCGTTATGGCTAAGCTAATGAATTGCTGAATAAACAATAGCAAATTTTCGAAGCGATTTTTTTTCGATATTTGCCAAGGGCATAAAGAACAGCTGGGTTTCGTTCTACATGACGTTCGTTAGACATATCCCATTAGAACGGAGGGAAACGTCGGGAGAATTCAGGAAGAGAAAGATGAATGTGAAAAAAATGGTAGTGAATGTTTTTAATTTTCTATCATCTGCAAAACCACCTCTAATAGAGTGGCACCCTGACCAATGTTTTGCATAACTGCGGTCATCCGCGGCCACAGCTGGCCGTAGCATAGCTTTGACCCTGACCAACTTTGAGCCGATTTTTTTCTGGTACTGTTAACGATATAAAAAGTGGTTAACTAGTAAAACATTCATTGAGATATCAAAACTATTTTTTCCGTTTGCCTCTCCACATCATGGGAATCGAAAAAAGAAATCATTTTACGGTATCAATCCACTCACCTTAATAGCCATTTTCTCTGCTGTCTGCAACTCCAATATTCGTGCTGTACTGTCTGCATCATTTGGAAGTTCTGTCTCTCTTAAAGTTTTTCCAAATTCAGTAAGAGACGCGGCGATGGCTGTAGCGGACGCCTTCATTCGCTCAATGTCCTGCAAACAATGGAAGATTTGGTTTCGGAAAGAAAGTAGTCTGGTCAATTAGAGACCTGCACTTGAAAGGATACTTTTCCTGATTGCCTTTCTCTTTTTTTTGCTTTTTTTCACTTTTTATTACCCCTATAATTTTTATTCTCAGAAGTAACTCTCACCGCTGTATAATCTTTCTCATTGACAAGAGTGGAATAGGAATTCCAATATCCTTGAAACGTTCGTAACATTTTTGGAAGGAATAGGAATAAGAAGAAGTTTGGAATACCCCCACAAAACAGCCACAAAGGCCCCCAGTTGCTATGGTCAACTGATTTTGGACGAGGAGTCTATGCGGCCTTGAAAAGAGGAGGAGAAAATGTTGAGATTGAGCCCCGCAGCTGCCCAGTGTTCTAAATAAAATTTGATGTTCTTCCCAAATGGACGCAAAAAAGAGGAAAACGAGGAAGAAGACGAAGAAGCCTGGGACAAAAGACGGGTACTGAGTAGTACTAGCAACCCTTTTCTAAATTGTCGAAATAGGCTTGAAGACAGACCGGCGACGTTAAATACCAGAACACTTGAAGAGGGGAAAAAGGAAATTGTGCGGAAGAGAAGTGCGAGGTAGAAATGAATGAACGCGTCTCGGGGGCGAGAATTAATGCGAATGCATGTGTGCGTATGAGCTCATTGTGCACCTGAACGCAATGGGCAATAAGGCCCTTATTGGGTTGAAGAGGGGAAGGTGGTGGACACGAAGGACGATATGTGGTTTTCGGGGAGAGGTAGGAGGCTGGCAAGCCCGATTGGCAAAAAGAGGGACCGGTCAATTGGGCCTAACGTCAGCCACACCTATTCGCACTTCTTCTACCTGCCGCCAGGGGAGTTTCTTATGCATCTTCGCGTGTGTTTTTTGTTGTCTTCCCCTTTTTTGACTTATTCTTCGCCGCCCTTTTCAAAAAGGATGTGTGGCAAACACCTGCAAACTTACCATTCTATGTTGCACCCATTCCAAGTGGTTGTACTTTATGAGGCCACCAACGTCCATTGTCAAATGTTCGTGATGGATGTATTTTCGGAGTTCGGCAGATGACTCGAGTTGGATCACCTGGGAAAGGATACATTTTTGAAAAATATTTTTTTTATGAATTTTGAAAAAGTTGGTCTTAAAGATAGTGAAAACAAACGTTGCAATTTTTTGGCTTCTGGAAACTGTTCGCAAATTTTACTGTAGGCACTTTAATTGAATGAAACCGTCAACTTTAACCCCACATATCCCAAACGATTAAGTCCATATGTCTCATTTTCTGTGAAAGAACTGAAAAATTGCTCAACTGACAAAATGTTTATTATTTAATTTGAAAGATTTTGTCAAATGATAATTTTTTGATATTTTCATATTTGCAACGGGCCTAGCCGGGCCGGGCCTTTAAAAAGTTGGTCAAGGCCCGGCCCGACCCGGGAGGCCCGGAAGACCAGGACAGTTCGAAATTTAGGAAAAATGACTTGTTTTTTTTTTTTGGAAAAACGTTGTGTATAGCATCTAATTTCAAGCTGAATTATAAATATCGAGTTTTCAACGCTTAAACAAAATTTTTGAAATAATTTTTCGCTGAAATTTCTCCGGAGATGGGATCATACGGAAAACTGCATTTTTGAAGCAAAATAACTTTTTTCTCAAAAACTTAATTTTATGTAAAAAAATTCTCAAAATAATATCAAAAAAACCAAAAAATTCCTGTCCGGACCTGCAACGATTTTTGCAAGTTTGGATATCTTTCACAAGAGCCGAGATGAAATTATTCAAAGGTGAAAGTAATTTACTTTGATAATTCCGAAAAAAAATTGAAACTGTCATGCTCTATTCTATTCTATTTTTCTTTAATGAATCTTTCCCCGATGATTGAAAAAAAAACAATTTTCTTTCCTACAATTTTCTGTTCCACTCCCTAATCCTTTTATGGTTTGTATTTCCATCTCCCTCTCTCACCCTAAAAAGCAATCCTCAATTAACATACATGCCTATAATTTCCGTACCGATGCGCTTCGCATAATAAATCTTCTCTAATTTGAATAAAAACTCGACCAATCATTTCGCGATTTCAAAAATTTTGAAATACAATGAAACATAATGAAAGCTAACCTTGAAAGTACAGGTATCCGCTGCTCCACGATATCCAACTTCGAGAGCTCGCTGAAGAACGCCTTCCGGCTTGATGACGAACGTCACACAAACTTTTCCAGGGAAGAATGACTGAAAATTGTAAAAAAATTAAGTTATAGAGAGAATAGTAACAGAAAAAAAAACAAGCACATCTGTGAGAAAAAGCGTTTTTTGACAATGGCTAAAGAAATTAAATAGAAGAGTCCCAGTACCAGTTTTTGCACTCTCTCCTTCTTTTTTTTCTTTCAATTTATTTCTAAGCCACAAAACACGGGTCCTAATTACGTTAGGATCGGCACAAATGCTTCTTCTTCTCCTTCGTCTTTAGAAAGCCTAGGATCAGAAAACTGCAGAACCCGAAATGAGTTTTTGCCAGCCGAGTACTAGTTGACTCGTGAAACGCTTGTGAGCGCACTTGGAGCATGAATGAATGACAGTTTGATGACTGCATGGGTTAGAGGGCAAAGTTGTAAAAAGTTTTTTGACCCGAAATTACGTTTTTCACTTTTTTCTGTCATGCATAAAATTTGGTGGGCCACCACCACGACACTTAGTGTATAGAAATTTCGAAAAGAGCAAAATGTACGGATGTCTTCAGAAAATGAAGTGGATTTTCCTCGAAAATGCTCCGATTTCAAAACACCGGAAGTACCGGGGCAGAAGAGGACCACCGCCAGAGGGATAGGAAAAATGTTTTGGTCCATTTTGAAAACTTTTTGTTTTGGGAATAGTATCAAATATGTGTGCACATGTATAGCAAGCCACGATCGAGAAATGGAAAACAAAAAAAAAACAATACACATTAAGGACTGAAATAGATGGTCACCCTATACTTGCACTTTGAGCTTAATTATTTCAATATCCGTAAGAGACATCAAAAATTTGTCAGATGATAAAATATTGGTGATGTTATGGTCAATAATTTATTAGTTGACAAGTTTTTGTTATCGTTCACAGAAATCGGAATGATTGAGCTCAAAGTTGACGGTTTGAATAAGCTTCTATTAGAGCAAATACGGTACTTTCAGGATTTAAAACTTTTAGGAAGTTTAAAAAAAATAGAAAAAATTAAAATAAAATAAATGACCGTCTCTGTCTGTCTGTGCAAGTAAAAGTGATATTACGCCGCATCAAAATTCGGAGGGGCATGGTAAACAAAAATTGGCACACACACACACACACGGAAAGAAAACCTGAGAGATATCCGGTCCTAATGATACCTCCACCGACTTTCCTGACATTCTTCACGCATTTCACATAAACACTAAAGTGAAACCGTGAAAAGCAAAAAAAAATCCAAAACGAAACGAAACGATTTGGCGTCGAAAATTGTGTCAACAGATTTAAGAAAGTGGACACACTTCTTGAAAAATGGAAAACAGACACGATATGGTGTTCACAGTAGTTAAATGGTTGGAAATAGAAAGTGAATCTAAGGACGACGCAAAATGATTTATAGGTCTTTAATAGTAACTAATAACTATAATATGCATATGATCGCGTAAGTAGAACAGACAAAAAACTGGAACTCACTGAGATCTGTAACAATAGTGTTCTGACGGACGACCACTTGTCACTCCGGCGATCGATGATTATCACAAAACCCTTATGGCTGTCCTCCAGGCTGAAAATTCAGAAATTAAAATTTGACATACCGTATCGGCCATTAAAAACACAAAAACACCATAAAAACAAACTTTTTTAGGCGATTTTCGGTTATATTGACCATTTTCGGGAGTCTGGAGCGCGGATTCCAATTGTTTCATTACTTTGAAAATTTCGGAAGGTGTAAAACAGACCTAGATTGTAAACTTAGCATTAACAGAATTTTTTAAAAATCCTCAATTTTTCAGTTATTAGTCTTTTTGGCCCGTTTTTGTACTGTAAACGTAAAAAACGGATGTTTTTTAGAAATTGACAAATGACAGAATTTGAAAAAAATATTTCATTGAATGCAAAAATTTCAATTTAGGTCTGTTTTAACACCTTCCAAAGTTTTCAAAGTTGTCTAAAAATTGATAACCGAGCTCCAGATTCCTAAAAATGATTAAAACGACTAAAAATCAACTGAAATTTATGTTTTTGTATATCTTATTGACTGTACATGTCAAATCCTATGCAGGCTATTTTTTCAAATGCGTCGCTTCAAACATTTTAAAAAAAATTTCAAAAACGTCGCTTCCAACATACTAAGATAAGAATAATTCCAAAATTATCAAATTTTCAAAATTCGCCCGTGTCTAAGTTCCTAAAATTTAGTTATGACATCCAGATAAAGTTATTTGCAACTATGCAGGTGCTTATAAAATTGTTAAAAATAGTTCTCAACTTACGGAGGAACTTGCAAAAGATACTTGACAAGAAGCGAGTAGTCTTCAAAGGGAAGCGTCGATCTCGAATCCGGAAACGTGACGATTGTCAATCCTTCAGATGTGCGAGCTCCTAAAAAAATGGAAGAAAATGTGATGGTGTTGAACCGAAAAAAATGTGTCCGATATTGCAAATGTATGAGTTGTGGTGCTGTTCTGCAGCTCATGTTGGACATAAAAATTTCTGTCAGGCTCAAACATTTTTCTCGCCAGCCCATTTTATTACCCTGGTTTCCACCACTCACCAGAAATGAAAGCATATCGTGTGGCAAGAATATCCGACATATCTCGAATTTTGATCCGGTCAGCGCCCACTGTGAGGTATCCATCTGGAAATTTGATTTTTTTGAATTTATATTCAAATTGAGCGGGAATCTAGAAGCTTTTGTTTCAATTAAAATGAATAATCAACCTTGTTTTCTCCAATTTCTCCATGCTAGTATTGAGGGTACCATAAACTAGGAATAAGTAAAGTAAAGTAGAGGAATATATCCAAATAGAGGTTCTGTTGCGACAGAACTTTACCTGCGCCCGGTCCTTCTCCTGGCTAGTTGTATAATACCGGGCACTATTAAAAGTAAGAGACCGTGGAATCCCGCAATACCGTACTAGCCTATTTTGTCCATAACCTATCTCCCCATATAGAGCGGATGATTGGTCATCCGAACGACAAGAGAAGGAGATCGAAAACTTTAGACCTCCCGCTATACAGTCATTATTTTCCATATATACGTTAAGTTGCGCAACAACAATACAGTGAAAGTCAATCCCAATACAAACCCCAGTGCTCGTCCGACGCGTCGTCTTCAGAATCAAACACACTGTCTTCGTGGAAAACTAGACTCGTCGAAAACGGATGGCTGGATCGTTCCATTACCGATCGGTAGCCAGAGTCGTTGAGTAGATCCACATCTTTAAGAGCGGTCTGAACAAAGAAATTGTTTTCTTTGAAAAAAATTAAAAGTTCCTTACCTTTAATTCCTTGAGATCACTATCCATATCATAGAAAAATGCGGGAGCTTCAATAAATTGAGAATTGGTTTTTGAAGTGGTGGACCTAAAAATAGTCTTTTAAATTAGCTAGAAATGTACAGTACCGGTCAATGAGTAATACAAACTTTTGTTTTTCAGTCGATTTTCGGTCATTTTCAGAAGTCTGCTCGGATTTCAAGTATTCGATTATTATAAAAATTTTGGAGAATATAGAACAGACCAAGATTAAAAACTTTGAATTCGCAGAATTTTTCGAAAATTCCTAGATTTTCAGCTAATACCGTACCACTCTAATATAAGGCCATTCAAGCTTCTAATTTTGAGCCCCTTTATCTCGGTTACTGCGAAAGATGTTGAAAAGTGAGCATCTGGAAACATATTTTTGTAAATATGATAAATAATTTGTCAGTTGACTACGTTTTGATATCTTTTACAGGAACAGAGGACCATAGGCTTAAATTTAGTGGTTTGGGTGGCCTTCTATTAGATAGTTTAGGGTAGTAATCCAACAAAACCATTCTAGATCTGTTTTAAATCCTCCAAAAATTTTAAAATGATTAGAAACTTCACAGTCAAGCTCCAAGCTCATGAAAATGGTCAAAATGGCCAAAAATATAGTTAAAATTACGCTTTTGTATATTTTATTGACCGGAACTGTATCTATTTTGGAATTTATACATACATTCACTACGTACTGCGGTTCCTAGTGCTAAACGGTTCTGACAATTCGAATTGTTTTCTAACAATAAGAACAGAGAAACAGAAGAAGAGGAAAAGTGTGTTAGTTTATTGCTAATTACTTCTCTGCGACTGACTTTTGCCGAACGGGTGGTTGGCAGGAATAGTAAAGGAGTTCGTCAACAGGTGCTGACGGAATCGATTATGAACATGTTTCAGATTTATTCATAAGGTTTTGCTGAAGGATGTTCGGCTTTTGGCGAAACGTAAAGTTTTGAAGTGGAAACGGACTAAGAGAGGGGGAGAAAGGAAACAGTGAAGAATGACTTTGCTGTTTCTCTTTCAATTTCCGTAGTCTAGGGTAACAGGGTTCCGTTTTTTTTGGCTTTTACTTTTTTTTTCAAAAAAAGTGAATAAAATTTTTTCAAGCCACGAAAAAACTCATAATTTTTTGGAAAATGAGAAAGAAGACCATACCATTTTCCGTTCAAAGGAACAGAATTCCTCGAAATACGACACCAGAAAGTTCTATATATATAGAGTTATGCGGCTCACAACCAACAGCTTTATGTCCTATCCCTTTTTTCCTCCTTTCCTGCCTCAATGTCCCCATTTACGGATCACGTTTGTGCAAATAACTGCACGAATGAGGCCAAATGCAGTTGTAATAAAAAATAACGAATGGCTTTATTCCTCATAGACCTACAGTTTCCGATCTCGATTCATTTTGTTCATAGAAGTTTCTTCTTGGAATTATTGCTTTAGTTGCAAATAGAAAAAAAATTCTACCACTTCCGCTACTCGGGTTTATTTTTTTCCACAAACTTTTTTTTCCGAACTTTGCCCGAATTGATGGGTTGTTGTCCCAGGAGATTTCGGTGTGGAAGTTATTGGGTTGTTTGAAAAAAAGGAAGAAGAAAAAACATGATGCGAGTTGTATGTATTTTGGCTTCTTCCCAATCGGTCAAAATGTGGCATCAAGATCATTTTTTTGTTGCTTTTTTTCCGGGACTAAACAAATTTTAGAATTTGAGGCGAGATAGATGAACCTGATTACAAAGTGAGGGGGTCGAAAAACGAGGAGAAGATCTCAAAACTCACATGATTATTGGTTCTCGAGACGTTGAAGAAGACGTTGAAGTCGTCACCTCTTCTGATGTGCTGGCAACCATGCTGCCGTAGCAGGACGGTGCCGCCTGCATTTCGAACACTCGATTCGTGAGGCCCTCCACCCTCTGAAACAATGGGCAGAGTTGGAAAAGTTCCGAAGAAAATTGGAAAAATCGAATAAACGAAGGTTTAGAACAAAAAAAGGGAGCGCGTAAAACAAAATTCTATTTAAATCACAAATGTCTATCAAGTTCAGGAAAGAGAGACGTTTGAAACTCAATTCCCCATTTTTTTCCATTTTTTAGACGGAAACCTAAAGGGACGGACTGCAAAGAAAGTAAATGAGAGGAGAAGTCAAAAGTGCCGGCGGAGGGCAGATGCTCTGAACGTTTTCCGTGCATCAAAGGGCATATGTGAGTGACATTCTGCGCGTGACTGATTGGATTAATTCATCAATAGGAACAAAATAAGGAGGCATTGAATTGAAGGAAGAGGGACACAAGACAGTGCTTAAGGATGGAACCCCACGAGGCAAGATGGTAAAAGTCGAAAATTTAATTTCTCAAGAAATTCCAACATTTTGATTCATTGAAGAACTATTTTTCTCGTAAACCATTAAATTAGGACCGCAAAATTTTTCCACGCTTTGGAAATCCTTTCAAAACTAAAAATTTGATATATTTTTACAATTATAATTTCTAATTTCTTTTTAAATTTATAATTCTCAAAATAGTTTAGAGGCCGAGAAAAATATTCTGATTTCACGAAAATTCAAAATTCTGATTTATGAGTAAAGTATTCTTTCAAAAATCTGACAATTGGGAATAAAGAAACTTTCCAAGTCTCTAGAATATTTTCAGATTTATTAAAAATATCAAAGTTCTGATTTATTAGACAAAAAATTATTTTTATAGCCATAAAATTAGGGGAAACAGCTCCCACTTCTCGAAAATTTTTTGGAATTTTCGAATTTTTAAAACCACGTTGTTTGCACAAATGAAGGAAGAATATGACCATTCTGATTTTTTTCGCCTTGTTATATCTCACAAAGTTACATACATTTCCCGGCCGAAACGAACGAATTTTATAGCCGTTGCCTTTTTTAATTTATGCAAAAATAGGGATGATTCATCGTTTTATGGAATGCCCTAGGGTTTTCCAACGTCCGAGAAAAAAAACAGACTCATAAAACGGACTTCTCGAGGGATGGAAATGAGTCTTAATTGAAAATTTCGAAGAAAAATATGAAAACGAAAATACATAGGAAGCCTCCAGAAACAAGAACCGATAACTTAGATGATGTGAACTTTTACAATTGAATCGAAAACCGCAAAAGTTATTGCCAGTTAGATATAAAATGAAAAAAGAGGGCCGATGTGATTGGATCCTTTCTAATAATTCGGGACGCAAAGAGAGAAAAGAATTGTCTTTTTTCTCCCACTTCCTTCCTTCTCCAATCACTGTCTCGGCGGTCTTTTAGAAGGCTCCTAGTCAATTATATGTACCTTGAGGAGAACATGACATAAATGTAGGTCAGAGGAAATCCGTCTTTTTGTGTTGCAAAAAAAAAGAAAAAAACAATTTTTTTTTCCTCTGGGGGTGTCTGAATCTCTGAATTCTCTCCTTTTTAAAATCACTTTGAGGTGAGAAATTCGAGAATCGCTTAAGCATTTTTGATGGATGGGGGAAAAGGAATTGGGAAGAATAAAGTAAACAGAAGCCACACAGTTTAGGAAGGGAAAATGAAATAAAATGAGATGAAGAAGAAAAACCAGAGCAGAAAAAAAAAGAAAAAGAATGAGAGAAAAAAATATCAAGTGTCAAGAAGCTGATGACTGCTAGAAAAGAGGAAGAAAAAAGGAATTGGAAAAAGGCTTGGTGTTAGAGGCAGTATGAATGAACGTTTCTTCTTTCTCCTGACTTCCAGACAGAAGACGTGAGGGGCGAAAAATAACATCTGATGCACACGAAAAGACTCAAACAACTATACTACATATACAAATGTATTTATTAAGAGCTCTCTCCGTATCATGTAAAAGAGTAGCTGAGTTGGTAAAAAGAGGGGGGAAGCCTAAAAATGAATGAAAACCGCCGAATAATTAAGAGGGGAGCAACGGCCGAAAGGAAGAGCACTCTTTGGGGTCCTCACTACCAATACTAGGTTTTCTCTCTAAAAGAAATGAGCACAAATGCTCGCCAAGAAGAGAGGGGCCTGCTCCAAAGAGCAACATTACCGCCACATACTCCGAGACCCCCAAAAATGGAAAAGAGAGAAGAAAATGCTTGAATAGGAATCCGAGACTTGAATTTTCTTTCGTTTCTCTCTCTCTCTCTCTCTCTCTCTCTCTCTCAATGTATTTCGTAATTCCAACCCGGACTTGGTGGCATTTGGATAGGGCGTGCCATCAGAATTAATTTGGACGCTGTATTTTTTATTGCCAGTGTGCACCCTTGTGACACAAGAGCTCATGTGACTTCAGCTATTCATTAATAAAATCGGATAGGAGGAAAAGTTTTGAGTTTTCAAAAGAACTTTTGTGAGAAAGTTGGATATTTTGGAAGGAACTTTGGCTTTGGATTCATTTGAAAGTAATAGAAAACAGAAGGAGTTAGGTTTGGAATGGTGTAGATTATATTAAGCAAAATATACAGTACTGGTCAATAAGATATACAAAACCTAGTTTTTTGTTGATTTTTGGCGTTTCCAGGAGCCTGAAGCTCGGTGGCCAAGTTCCCAATCGCTCTGACAAATTTGGAAAGTGTAAAACAGGCCTAGATTGAAAATTTTGAATTTACAAATGTTTCCCAAAATTCCTAGTTTTCCAGCTATTTGCCGATTTCTGAATAACACGTGATTTTCTTATATTTTCAGACAAGACAGGCCAACAAGGGGAATTTTCAGAAATTCTCAGATATCTAAAAAACTAGGGATTTTCAAAAAATTCTGTGAATGCAAAATTTCCAGACTAGGTATGATTTAAACCCTCCGAAGTATTCAATGTGACCAAAAAGTTGAAAATTGAAGTGTTCAGACAGATATAAAAATTCTAACGGACAGAAAAAATCTGAAAAACTGCAAAAAAATACTGATAAACTACTGAAAATACTACTGAAAGTATTACTGAAAATACTGAAAATACCACTGGAAAAAAACTTTTGAAAACTATTGAAAACCTTTAAAATATATTTTTGTTACTGTGTTTAAAAAATACTGCAAATTGGAAAAAAAAATTATCTGGCAAAAACACGAAAAAGGGGACAAAAGTCCGTCAAACACTAATTACCATTTTAGCATGTCAAGCTATCCGCGCTCATTTCTTCTCAACTTGAGCGACCAAAAAAAGAAGAGCTCAAAAAAAAAGAGTTACGAAAAAAAAAGCGGATTAGTCCTTCTAATGTTCATCAACAAGACAGGCAGGAGGGGGAAATGAAGATTTGTTTTCGGGCGTCCCAAATCTATTCTTTGTATAGGCTTTTGGACCAGGCAACACCCTACTGTGCCTTTAAAAAAATTCTAAAACGTCGTAAATCATCAAGAAGTCGTCAGAAAATGATGATATTTATAGTCGAGAGGAGAGTATAAAATGACGCGAAAGACTAAGAAAGTTAATACATTTTCTGCTCTCATGCCGGAAACTGGATGAGTTTTTTTCGCTTTGAGAGAATCAATTTTAATTAATTAGTGATACGAAACTTTTTGTTTCGCGCTAAGAGATTGTGGAAATGGGGATTCAATAAAATTCGACGAAAAAAAATCAAAAAGGTGTTATCAAATCTTATCACTAAAAATCGTTTCTTTTTAGAGGACACCAGAAAAGTCATTAATCAAAAAACCACCCGGTAGGATATTTTTCACGCATTTCGGTGTGTACGATTTCTGGTTCTCAATGAGTAGGCGGGTGGAAAGTAAGCAGAGTGAAAAAAGATGCTCACAAAAGGTACCAAACAACAATGTCAAAAATTCATGGTTGCATGTTTCCGTTTTGACGGCGGGGCACACAGACCCGATTCGGATGCGGAGCGCTCCGCGCGGAACAAAAAACAACAAGCGCGAAAAGGAATGGTTGTTGGGGGGAGGGAGAAGGCCGGAAAAGCGATTGTTTTGCGATTTGCACAAACATTTCACCCAAAAGTCTCTGTGTTGGCATCACCATTTCGTTCCTTCACTCTTTTCTCTGGTTCAAATCCTTGCCTTGGGGCGCCCAGTGCCAAGAACCCAGTGCCAAAAGCCCAAAAAGTCGAAAGGAATGAGTGATTGCGGCGGTAAAGAAGAAAAGAAGACGGGTTGAACATCACGGTTAGAAGCACATATTTGGATGAAGAAACTGGGACTTAGAGAAGCGGCACTGAGCTCCTTCGGTAGACTGCTCGGGGGGAGGGGGGTACAAACATAAAAACATGGCTCACAAAGAGAACGTCACAAATGGCATTCAGGGAGCTCGAAAGAGCAAGAGATGAATCATAGATGTTGGTGAATAAACAGGTTTGAATTTAGGGCAGAGAACGGTAGTAGACAATTTTTCGGGTAAGACACTTGAGAATATTTTTTCAAAAAAAAAGCGAGAAATTCCTGAATATTACTGTCCAACTGTTTGAATTTTTCAATACTTCGGAATTTTAGGATACTTGTAACGGGCCGGGCCGGGCCGGGTTTTTTTTCCAACTTTGGAGGCCCGACCCGGCGGTACTGTCATTTTACCAGTTTTTTTTTAATTTCAAAAACACATAAAATTTTTTCTGGAGTTTTTTCGATATTTTTTGATTAAACAGACAAACAATCCAAAAAAAACGACAAAAATAGGAAAAAGTTATATTAAGAGCTCAAAATTTGGCTCAAAAATAAAAGATTTCTGATACCGGGCCTTCCGGGTCGGGCCCGGGCCTTGAAAGTTTCCGCAAGCCCGGCCCGGGCTTTGGCGGGGCGGGCCGGAAATCTACAAGTATGAGGATTTTTTATTTTTAAATTTTCGAAATTCTAGCAATTTCAAAATTCAAAAAAAAATCTTGCAACTTTAACTTTTCACATTTTGAAGTTCTAGTATTTTTGATTGTCAAATTTTTAGAATTTCAAAACTCTATTTTTTTTTGTATT